CTCAAGGACGTGGCACTGCGGACGGCACCTGGCTCCTGGTTAAGTAAGCCATTCATGGTCACGAGCCTGTGACTCTCAGGTACATTACTAATGACAGCCCTTAGAAATAGGTCCAGTGCTTCCTGCCTCCAGTTTTGGTCTTGGGAGCAACTTCAAGCTTTGCCTGGCAAAAAGGTGGGGATGAGTGGACATATTATCACATCATGAAGTTATGAAGAATCACCTTTAAGCAACATTCAAGCTTTTCATTTTTTTTTAATTACATGAAACTTGCCCGGGTTAAGTTCGACATTCATAATAATCCCTTAGCAAAAACAAGCCTTGCTGGGAGTTAATTGTTCTCTTCTCCTGTGACAGGTGCGCTGGCAGGATCTCAGTTCAAACACTGGTGAGTCAGCACGTCCTGTCACCACGGCAAGGTGAGCAGGTCAGGACCGGTCACAGGCTCTGAGTCATATGACTGTTGCTTTCTGGGTGCCACTCAAGACCTGAGCTCCCTAAAGAAGGTTCCAGGGCAGCCCAGCCCTCCCACCACCCATCCCTGTGACGGAGACCAGAAGTCACCCTGGACTCGGCGCCCAGCTCTTCTGGCACAAATCCACAACAGCTGTTTAAAGGCAATGGAAGATAAGCTATTATAAGCCACTTTCATTAAATCTCAATACCCAGGAACGTAAATTCCATTTATCTCCTAGATGTCGTTATTATGCACAAACAGAACAAATTAAAATAGTATTTGTAAAACAAACAGCTAGGAAAAGAGAGTGAAGAATCATACGCAGGAGGAGAAATGTTCAGGGAGCTGCACTGGTTTCCATGTGGGTCTCGGCTGGGGGTTTGTGGTTGGCTCTGGTTGGCTTCCAGCTGACTGTGGAGAGCCTGCCATCTTGTGGGAACTCCACACACAGCCTTGTCCCTGCAGCTTAAAATGTTGGAGAAGCGGGGCGCGGTGGTATACACCTGTAAGCGGGGTGCAATGGTGCACACCTGTAATCCTGCTAGCTTGGGAGGCTGAGGCAGGAGGATCATGAGTTCAAAGCCAGCCTCAGCAAAAGCAAGGGGCTAAGCAATTCAGTGAGATCCTGTCTCTAAACGAAATACAAAATAGGGCTGGGGATGTGGCTCCGTGTCAAATGCTCCTGAGTTCAATCCCCAGTACCTCCTCTCCTCAAAATAACAGAGAACTGGAGACTTCCCCCTTGTTAATAGTCTGGAGGAGGATGCTTATACACAGTGGCGTAAACACTGTTTCATGCAGGCAAGCTGTGGGGTCAATGGCCACTTCAGTCCTCCTCATCCTGAAGTGGGTAAGGGTCCCTCTGTTCTTTAGGGATCGTCTCATCATGCAAAAAGGGAAATATTTTTAGGCCCAATTTAATGCTGACAGAAACCTACATTTTTATGTGATAGTTTGAAAACTTTTCATTCTAAACACCTGGTCAAGGTTAAAAGGCACATTTGTAGCATTAATTGTAAAATAATAGTGATAGGTATTTTTTTTCTGGATTTACAATCACAAAGCAGAAAATAAGTGTTGAGTGTGCCCTCAACTCAGCTCTCCTGTTAAACATGTATTTTACCTTGATTCATCCAAGGAATGTGTTGTTAGGAAAGGAAGAAACAGGATACATTAGAAGGAAGCAGACTGGCAAAGTCATGCTTCTTCAAGTTCCTTTAAGACCAGGCTGTGTGGTGGATGCGTGAAGAGGGGAGAGGCAGGTGGGTGGTGATGGATGGCCTGCCCCACTCTGGCCCTAGTTAATACAAAGGGTGAGCGTGTGGTTGAGAAAATCAGGCAAGTGGGTGTGCTGCTGACGGTAGGAGCTCTCCTGATAACAGGGTGTGTTCAGCAAGTTCCTATGCCTCATAGGTACCCAGGCCCTCTCACCCATGTCTAACTTGGTATTAAGCACCTTACCCACAGGGATCTCCTTTCCCGTTGGGTATCAGTTTTAAGCAGCAGACTCAGAAGGAAAGGCTAGAAAGGTGGAGTTTTGAGAAAGAGTAGAATGCCAGAAAATTCAGATCTATAGTGCTGATGGTAAACAAGTCAATTTCCAGAATCACAGTAACATTCGTAACCACTATCCCAAGGTTTGACCCCATGCTAAGGTCAAATATCAAAGCAATATGAACCTCAAACCTCATGAACACTGTAAAAGTGAGACAATCTGCTGGTATAAACATAAGAAGACCCACAAGAATCACAAAGCACTGTATGTATGATATTTTATGACTTTGAAAAAAAGCTAATAATACAGTTTTCTGTGCAATGATCACTTTGGAAATGCTCCAACTGATCTCTTCATGTATCTGGAGACTTAAGAGGAAAGTGCAGTTTTGCACCCACGAGGTATTCACAGGGCATGTCAGTCAAACACCTGCTCTATGCAGGAGCACTGGACCATTCACAAGTCTGCACACCAGGCACACACGTGCACGGACATGCACAGACACGGACATGACCTCTAAACCAGCTGAGTCCTGTGAGCTTGACCTTCTGCTTGTTGGAACAGCTGGGGACAGAAATCCCCACCACTTTCCCTCCTCAAGGCCACCCTGGACCCGCAGCCCGGGGCTTTCCATGCAGTGCTCCTCCTCCCAGGGCATGTCCCCTTAGGGATGCCCAGGGTAGAAAAGTGAGAAGCTAATTTCAGGCAGTGGGCTTTGTCAGAACTGCTGCTGAGCAGCAGATCCCTGTCAGCAGGAGCTTCTTCTCACCCCTTGACTCTCTCCTCTGCAAAGTGAGAGGATCTGACAGATGGGGTTTCCGACGGCCTGGGAGCTGGGGTTCCACATCTCTATCACTTCTTCCTGGGCTACCACACTTCCGTATTACTGCTTTCTTCTTTGCCTAAGTTTCTGTTGTAGGTTGAGGCCAGTTAACCCCAAATAGCCTTTTTCTTTAAGTAAAATATAATTCTGACAGGGCCCTTTTAACTTCTTGACAACGTTTTTGCCACCAACGGGATAAATCATGTCTAGAGACCTGGGTGTGATTTTTCATGGGACTTCATGACGGTGACCGGGAATGCAACAGGACAGTAGTCTACGGCCAATTTCTTCTCCCCTGCCCCATGCTCACAGTCATGGACACCTCAGTTATGGGCAGACAACCCCTGTGGCTGCCCAACAGTCCTTGAGGTTCAGCCTGAATCACCCCATCACACTGGGAAGACCTCCTAGCTCCAGGTGGACCCCGCTCACTGCCCGGGGCTCCACCACCTCTCAGATGCAGCTCAGCTGGTCCTTGGAGCAGCGCCCTCCCCCGTGGCACCGCCTCCCTCCTAAAGGGTCTCTGGCTGGTTTGAATACGGGTTGGCTTTGTCCTCCAAGAGTTTAGCTGTGAGCCTGGGTGTCAGGGGCCGGTGTTGGAAGTGGGGCCCAGCGGGGGTCCTCAGGTCCCTGGGTGTGCCCTGGGAGGACTTGAGCTCGTTCTTGGAGGACAGTCATAAGGGGGAAGCCTGGTTCCACTCCGTGCTGGCCTCCTCCTTGGGAGGCGATCTCTTGCTCCCACACAAGCTTTTCCATTGCCATCTGCCATGAGGTGACACAGCCAGGGGCAGCCCTCCCCAGGGCCCGTGCAACACCGAGTGGACTTTCAGCATCCAAGACCACGAGCCAAATAAACATCTTTTCTTTATAAAGTTAGCCTGTCTCAAGTACTTCATTACGGTCATAAAAACACAGACCAAGACACCAACCCTGTGAATGACGCCCGTGTGGCTCGGGGGGCGGTCACAGGAGCCATTCATTCTGAAACTGTTTTCCTCCAGTCCAACTTTCAGTCCATCCCAAATCCTGACCTTCCTACTTCAGAACACCATCTGGACCTCACCATTTCTGTCCGCCTCCACTTACCACCCCATCAGTACCACTTCCCAACAACCGATGGGCACCGGGTTCCCTGCTCCCAGCTGTGACCACCACAGTGACGTCTCCATGGAGAAGAGCTGCCTTTGCCATGAAAACCAGTTCACACCCAGGCATTTGGAACAAATTCCGACCTTCCCACGGGCTCCAACGTCCTCCCTCACCTGTGTGACTGGGGTCACACCTGCTGGCCTCACCTTCCTCAGGTGCACACCTGCCCCCTCTGAGCCCTGTTCGTTTTCTCTCTGGAGGGAACACTCCGACCAGACCTTTGCCAGGCTCCTCAGGTGCTGCCCCTCACACCACCTGAAGGAGCCTCCCAACCAGCCCAGGTGGAACAGCACCTCCCATCACCTCGCTCCCAGCCCTGGACCACAGCCACCTGTCCCCATGCTCCCCCAGTGGAGCACAGTGGATAAAGACGAACAGATCAACGCAGCACCGTGGGGAGCAACTGGACTTTCCTCTGCAGAACTGGAGCAAGCCTGCGGGAAACAGGGTGACCTGTCACTCAGGCCCGAGCCTCTGCCCTCTCATCCGGGTGGGGTCTACTCCCTTCCTGCTTCTAGTTCGCACCCTAGTTCAGATCTGACCAGTGCCTGTGGGGACTCACGTCAGCAGCAGAAAGGGGTGCCTGAGCAGAACGTCACCGTGGTGGGGCCCACTCACATGCATGACCTCCATGACCAGAGTCCCCCTTTAACACACCTTTTACACAACTTGTTGCCTCCAGTAAAGAAAATCAGCGCCTTGGTTCCCGGGCACTTTTGCTGTTCCCATGACGGAACCTCATCTGTCACTAATGAAAACTTATATTTAAATGACAGCTCCCATTGTTCCAAAGGATGACCGAAAATCGGGACTTCAAAACTGATACGATACCAAAATACTCAGAAGGACTAGAGATGTTTACACACAAACTAGTATTTTGGAATTCTGACCAGAAAAGCAGCAAAACAGAAATGCGATTTCTTACACACACAGACCTTCACCTAAGCGTTCAATCAACAGTTTTGCCCTGTGAAAGGGATAGTTCTCGCCTGGGTAGCCGCCATTCTCTGGTAGCCACAGTTGCTCTCATGAGAAGGCAGTGTCAGCCGCCAAAGTCCACCCCAGGAGCCACTCACCGGTGGGCACAGCCGCGGTCCAGGTGCAGTCCGTGCTTCTCCTCCGAGGACAGCCCGTCCATCAACAGGTAGAAGATGAGGAAGTTGCTCTGGCCCAGAGGCTGGGAAACCAGTCTGGACTTCTCCAGCATGTAGGTATGGATTCTGGCTGGTGAAGGAAAGAAAAGGGATTCTGTCAGATGGCACTGACAGCTTCGCTTCCTCGAATTTCCCTAATTCATTACAAGAGATAAAAATGCAGTTTCTTTTCCAACAGTCGTGTTTTTAATTTAACAGGCTGTCTTCTAGAGCAGGCTGAGGCTTAACAGAAGTGCTGAGCTGAAGGCACTGAGCGTTCCAGTAGCCCCTTCCCACCCACAACCCGCCATTTTCTCTATCAGCATCTGTGGGTTCAAACCCAGGACAGAGTCGAGACCTTCTTGTTCACTACGGGCCCCGGGTCACACTGCAGCTCACTCTGTGCTGCATGCTCCACGGCATCAGAGAAAGACACAGGGATGGGCACAGGGCCTGGGCATCCCCCTGGACCCCCACCACGGGCACCTGTCTCCATGGTGACCGAATTGGGCAATAATTTCACGTTGAGGTCATAATTTTAAAATTTTTTGATCATCTTCATTTGTTCTTCGTAAACAAATGTTTGGCTGGAAACATTTTCTGTTTAATTTTAAGAATATTAATCCTGAAATGATTTACTGCACAGGGGAATTTTTTAAATCCACACTAGTGTGAAATACACTGTGGTTTTAGCACGAGGTGGTCCTGTGGGTGAGGACCTGGAGACAGGGCTGACTTATATGCAGACTTGTCCCTGCAGTTCCAACTCCGCTGAACGCAGAGCTCACTACTGAGCAGACTCCACGCCGTGTTTCGGGGAGCGCCTTCAGTACCTTCCATCTAGATTCAAAAGCAGCATGATTATTAATCATCCTCGTTAGCTCATCTCCAGCAGTGAATAAAATTGCTGAGGAGTAGCGGGATTCAAGTCAGTAGGATTTCAAATTAAAAAATAAAAAAGTCTTGAAGGAGATTTTAGATGGGAGCAAATTCAAAAAAACAGCCCCCTATTCCAGTGGTCATGAGACTGCTCTTTTCCCAAGCAGAGATGAGGCACCCTTTCTGCTGTGTCTGAAATGATACGAGATACCATGAGGAGATGGTGCATTTCCAAGTTCGAGAGCCCCCTCAGGTGAGGGTCCACGCAGTGGAGCGCCTCCCACTATCACATGTCCTGATTTCTTAGGACCCGCGTGTTTCCAAAGCTCTCTTACGTCAGAAATAGTCACGACTAGAAATATATGCAATCTTCATGTGTGTCTACGCATGAAAGTGTTTCTCAAAATGTTTAGGTACCATGAAAACACAGGTCTGCAGAGCAGACGTGATGCAGTTTATTGCAATAGACGTTCTGCAAAGCTCTGCCCATTGCCGTTCATCACGAGAGCAAGAGGGTGACACTGGCTAGCTTTTCCCTGCCTCATCTCTCCTCCGACTTCCAGCAGCTTCCGACTCTCTCAGCCGACCCATCAAGCTGCTGAGACACAGGGCGAGTGGGGCCCTCTGGAAGCCCACGGTGCCCTCGTCCCCAGCAGCCACCAGAAGTACCTGTCACTGCAGAGAGCCATGCTCTCTCTTTCACACCTGCCCACATGTCCTTGCCCGTCACTCCTGGTCACTCAGACTGAGGTGAGGTGGGAGAGTGTGTGTGTGGGGGGCTCTCCTAAGAATGAAGCCTCCACATTCTCTCCCAAAATGAGACACTGCCAATCTCCACACTGCTTTATGCCATTTTGCCCATCCACAATATAGGGAAGAAAACATGGGAATGTCTCAGGACTTCATGAGGAAGGAGCTACCATTCTGAGCACCTACTGTATGCCAGGCCCCGAGCCAGGTGACCTGCAGTCCTGCCATGTGCCTTTCATCTTTCAACCTAGTGGCTTGTCCCAAAGCCCAGGCTGATTGCAATAAAGGATGCTGCTCTTCATGTGAGAGAAGATCAATTAAAGCCCTCTGAAGGGCCTCAAATGAAGTATGCAGTATAGGGGTGATTGATGATAATAGTGAGAATGGGTATTCATCGCTCACATCTCTGCTTTGTTTCTTCAAAATCAGGATCTGAAAAATGTGCTAGGCAAAGACACTTATTTATTTTCCATATCATTTGTGCTAACTCTGAAGGTTTAAGTTTCCCAAGTAGGTAGCATGGCTCAGCATTTCCTGCCGTTAAGCAAATTCAGTTTCAAGTTAAATAGATTTGGGTCTTCAGCCACAGAAAACACAAAGAGCCAAAGAGAAAACACAAAAAAAAAAGCCAAAATGGGCCCCTCACTCTCCTCCTGTAGCTAACTCCAGCACTTTTCTGGAGAGAATGTAAGATTTGACTTGAAGGTGAATGGGAAAGAAAAAGGGGGTGATGTAACCGATTCAGTCCCAGGTTTTCAATTCTGCAAATATAGCCATGAAATTGTCCCAGCTGCACTAAAATAGTTTGGAAATCATAACCCAGAGCTCAGATGTCCTGTATGATCACTAAGGACAGAACTCAGCAGTCCTAATAAACAGAACATAGGGCGATTCCACAGCTTGTAAAGCTGTCCTATAAAGAGGACGTTGAACCGACACGCTGTCTGGGACGCCTGGACAAAACGGACTGGAGACCACTGAGCACACTGGCTTTTCATGGGAACTGTGAGGTTTCAGGTGATGACCCTGCTCCAGAGGAAGTCGAGCGACTGCCGGAGGCTGCGGAGCTGGAGGCAGAGCCAAGGCCAAGCCAGGCTGCTCCAGGACTGTGCTCTCCAGCTCCCCCAGCAAGGGGGGGACCCGGGCTCCTGCAGACCTCCCCTCTGGACCTCCCTGATCTGGCACTGCACACACTCTGGACAGTGAGAGTCTGACCGTAGACCCCCAGTCTCCACCGCCCTTCTCTAGGAGGCTGTATGGGGACGAGCAGGAAAGGCACAAGAAGCCACCCCTGCCCCCAGGCGCCCTGCAGGACACCCTCTGAAGGCCCTCCTTCCGTGCTCGGTGGCTTGGTGCACAGCCTTCTCTTCCCACTGTTGCTTGAGAACCGTCTGGTGGGCATCCCAGGTGTGCGATGGAGGAACAGAGGATTCCACTCGGAAAGTCCATGGTCGAGTGAGACTTGGGACTCGAGGGGCAGGGGCCACAGGGCGCTAGGGCGATGATGCCCTGTTGGTCGCCTGGCAGTTGCTTCCTTCCCGGGGTGTGTCCCCTGGGAGGGAGGGGAAGCAGACCACCACAGCTCTACAGGAAGGCGGAGACGGTGGCCATCAAAGGTGGCTGCTCTGAGCAGCTGGACCCCGCCCAGGGGAAGAGGCGAGCTCAGTCCAGCTGCACGGTTGAGAGAGAAGGAGGGACTGGCACGGGCCCCACGACCAGTCACCAAGCCTCAGTGGCGCCAGAGCCCGACTCTGTGGCCCAGCTGTCCCACAGGAATGTCTCTCAAACTGGACCCGTGCAATCTAGGACGTGGACACTGTGGACAGCGGGGACAGGAGCGGTTAGGCTGAAACAGCCAAGAGCCACGGGAGTATGGACCTTGGACACTGGCTGAGCATCGAGAAGCTGGTGACTTGGAGGAGCAGGTGGCCTGGGGGTGGGCCTCTGCTGGGCCTCTGCTGGGCCTCCGCTACACCTGGAAGAGGCTTGTCCCCAAGACTGGAAGAGGCTCCTCTCGCGTGAAGGCAAGCCCACGTGCTCCCTAAAGGAAGCCCAGCCGCGCGGACACTCTGGTCCTGGGAGGAGAATGGGGACGTGGAGTCCACCACATCGCCACACAGGCTTCACCATGGCCCCTCGTCACACCACGGGGACCTCTGTGCTCTTGGATGAAAATCACAAACCGTGAAGGGTAAGAACAGTGGCCCAAGTCTCAAGGGAGGGGTCCCGGGGCTGGGGGACCTTCTTAGCAAAGTTCTCCTTATGGTCCTCAGCTGCCTTCTACAGACCTGGCTGTGGGCAGAGCCAGGTCAGTGCTTCTCAGGCTGCCCAGGGCCGCGCACACCGTGGGCTGGGAGCAGGTGCTTTGTCAAACCCAGAATCGGGAGGAAAAACACACTGGGCCCAGAGCCAGGCTCAATGCTATTTATCAATTAAATTACTCCAGAACGGGAAGAGTCTTATCTACTGTCGATGTCTCATAAAACAGGGCTTTGTATCTTCTATGTCATGGTGCGTGCTCATAGCCCCAAAGGACTGTTGGCATTAAATCATAAAAGTGCTAAAAACAGCAACGGTGAGGAGGAAACATGCAGCATCTCCCAGCCCTAAAATCAGCAAGGTATCACTCCCCGGCCGTAGAGGGGCAAGAGCTGATCACCCAGCGGGTGAGTGGGTGCCCTGAGGAAGCAGAGTCTGTCCTTCAACCTGCGCCTCGTGCACGTGGCCTCTGAGCCGTGGCCTTGCCGCCGTCTGGAGACCTGTCGAACTGAGCATTTTAAACTCACAAGACCCGAGTGGGAGATCACTCAGAGTGGCTGAGCCTCAGCTTTTCAGGAGAGGGTCTTTATAGTAAATAGTTTAAAGGGTCACACGTACAGCTTCTTAAAGTGGCCAATACTTTTTTTTCTGGGCAGTGGCAGTATTCTCCCTTAAACCAAAGATACTTTGGAAGAATGAATTCTTCCCCCAGGCTTGGCTGCAGGCTGAACTGTGTCCCATCTCAGGACACACCAAAGAGCCCAGCCCCGCTACTGGGACCTTATTAGGGTACAGGCCACTGCAGGCCACTGCAGGCTGGGTCCGAACCAATGTGATTGGTGTACTTTAAGGAGAGCCAGGGTGGAGGCCATGTGTCCACAGAGGCAGAGACCCGTGCCTGGCAGCCGCAGCTGAGGAACAGGAGGATGGGTGGCAAGCGTGAGACTGAGAGGAGGCAAGGAAGAGTCCCCCTGGAGACCAAAAGGGCCACATGAGTCATGGCCCCACTCTCAGAAGCCAGTGGCTGTCACCCCTGGGCAAAGAGCACTGGGTCGAGCAGCTCTCTTGATGCCCAGAGGCGCCCCTTGCCTGGCCAAGGTGTGGGCAGGAGGCCTGCGTTGGCCAGGGCTGCGTGGGAAGGGCACTCTCCACCTTCACCACTCAGCAGGACCCCGGGGGCCTTGGTGACAACAGCACAAGAGGGCCAACCAACTGCCAACAGCGCGGGTCCTGGGGCCACAGGCCTGTGTGGCAAGGGGCGGACCCCTCACTCTGGAGCCTGCTGTCCTTGGGGTCTTCTGCCCACTGAGTCAGCATGGCCACACCTACCTCAAATCTCAGAGAGGAAACTGGTTGTAAGTAGAAGGCAGGCCTGTCCTGTCCATGGAGGGCCAGGTCTGCAGGCAGGTGGCCTCGGGACCCGGTGCTGCAGACCCAGGGCATAACAGCTCTCCTGCTGAGAAATGGAAGCTCTGCCTCTGGCTTCACATCCCCAAAGAAAAGTCCTCTTCTTTCTCTTGTGTGCACGCCATTTTCCAGATTTCACTGAGCAGAAATTTGATCTTCACCTTCACTTCCAGGCGTTTAGATTACAGTCAAGATGAACCTTTCTAGTAGGGGATGGAGGATGACATATGGTTTGGACGTGAGGTGTCCCCCAAAAGCTCACGTGTGAGACAAGGCAAGAGGTTCAGAGAAGAAATGATCGGATTGTGAGAGCCTTCACCCAATCAGTGAGTTAACGACCTGATGGGACTGAGAGGTAATCAAGGCAGGTGGGACGTGGCTGGAGGAGGTGGCATTGGGGCCGTGGCTTTGGGGTCTCTGTTTGTATCTGGCAAGTGGAGTCTCCATCTTTTTCTGCTTCCTGATGGGACTTGCTTCCCTCTGCCGCTTCCTTCCACCATGATGCTCTGCCTCACCCTGGGCCCAGGGGAATGGAGCCTGCTGTCTGTGGATTGAGACCTCTGAAACTGTGAGCCCCCAGGTAAACTTTCTTCCCCTAAAATTGTTCTGGTCAGATCGTCTAGTCACTGCGGTGAAAAGCTGACTAAAACAGGTATCTTGAAAAAGCTAAATGCAACTGAGCTCTTTAAAAAATCATTTATAATTAGTGAATATTTGCATCCTCGAAGATCTTATAAAGTCCCTCCAAGATTAGGCATTCCACTAACGATTGTATTTGTATTAATTTGCATGATTGGAAGGAGGTATGATTCCAAGTGGAATCTAAGTTAGTTGAAAAAAACCTCTTTCCAGCACTGGAGGTTAAACCCAGGGGCACTCTCATCCAGCCACATCCCCCAGCCCTTTATTTTCATTTTAAGACAGGGTCTCGCAAAGTCACTCAGGTTGGCCCCAAACTTGTGATCCTCCTGCCTCAGTCTCTCTACTGTTGGGATTGCAGAATGCACCACCACTCCTGGCAAATTAATTGAATTTTAATGAGAATTTTTCATAAAATACACATAATTATTTAAACCAAACAAGAGACTGGTTCTGTGTTAAGTTTTGTTGGGTGACTATTTTAATGTTTGGATTTGTTTAATTCAGTCTTTCTAAAAATACAGATTTGGTTTGATTCAAAATGGAGTTCACTATGTGTTAAAGAAATCATATAAAATTGTGATTTATGTAAGTATCTGAGTTCCCTTCTACATGCAGCAAGTATGAGTCATTTATCTTTAGTTTGGTTCCACATTGTATAGTTTTTACATTAAAGGCTTGAAAAGGCGGACCCTGCACGTGAGCATATCTCAGACTCAGGACCGGACCTGAGTCTGAGATATGCTCACAGGCTCCCCCAGCCCCATTATCCCGAGTCTCCACCTAGTTCTAAAGCAACGAAGCTTTGCAGGGTTGGCAGGAGGTTTCCAACACATCTGCGATGAGATACAGATGCTCTCCTCTCTGGGATGCTTTATGGACAGCTTCCCTCCACTGGGTACCTACTTAGAATGTGACAGAAAGTAGCCAGGCACAGTGGCACATGCCTATGATCCCAGAAACTGGGGAGGCTGAGGCTAGAGGATTCGAAGTTCAAGGCCAGCCTGGGCAACTCAGCAGGACCCTGTCATAAAATAAAAAGTAAAAAGGACTCGGGGTGTGGCTCAGTGATAAGGCACCTCTGGGTTCAATCCAAGTATGGGAAAAAAAAAAGAATGTGACAGAAGGTGACCATGGATCTCCAAGGTCCCGCAGGCTCTGCCTTCCCCTGTCCACTCACCTCCAGTCATGTGCTTCTTCCTTTCACAGAACTGCAGCTCCGAGTACTTGATGAAGCAACTGGACAGATCGTTGAGTGTTGTCCTGGCGTGTCCAAAGGCTTCCAAGATGCATGTGACCTGCAGCAGGAGGGAGAATGTCACCCATATATTCAGAGTCTAAAAATGAAACAGGGGAGCTAAGTCGGCAAAGGGGCAGGAGTGTGCCATCATCTCACAGGCTCCACACTTCCAACACCAGGTGGACGTTTTAAGGCTACTTGTTCCTCAAATGCAAACTGTTAGTATGTGATGCCTCAAATTTGTGGCCACAGTTAATAAAATGACACACGGATGGTACATTCACACCTGTCGGGAGAAAAATCACTCACACTCACACTTAAAGGTGATTCAAAAATTTAAACTTGACCACTAGATGGGATTTGGGGCCTTGGAGGGGAGGCATGAGAACTGAGACAAGCCCTAGTTGGGCCTTATTTTTAAACAATAAACTTACGCGAACACTGGCACAGATTTCTTTACTGTCCCCACACACTGTTCAACCAGAGACCCCAGTAAGCCTCCCCTGACTGAAGTTTTGCCCCCTTCCAACAGCTTTCTCCCACAGAACCAGGAACACAGCATCCGGGCGAGGCTGTTTCTTAGAGCACCTGTGATGGCCACGGTGCCAAGCCTTCTCCAGAAAGTGACCATCTAAAAGCCTTGAAGAGCATCTTCCTCAAGACAGGAGCAGGGTAGGCGCAGTTCCCCAGCCCGCCACAAGAGGAAGCACCACCACACCCATTGCTGCAGGCCGCTCCTCTGTCCCCTGTCATTTCTGGTGACGGTACATTTAAAGAACTTTACTATGAAAATTTTAAAAATTCTTAGAATTTACTTTTTAATTTCCTAACATCTGCTGTACTAAGGCATTTATTTCTCCCAGCAGTATACTACATTTCCAAAGATCATAAAACCACACTTCCGTGCTAACCATAAAAGTGCCCAAAGTTGGGATAATGGTGAATGAGGTCTGTCAAGCCATCTGCTTGTGACGTTTGTAGTTTTGGAGTTCAGCATATTAAATCCTTAAAAACTCTATGCCTGGGTGTACACAGAATAACCGTATTTCAAAGACCATCAGAAATAACTTGACAGCAAGCTATAGAAATGTTGTCCAAAAAAAGTTGAATTTGTACATGTCAGTCTCTTGATTTTTATTTTTTTATTTTAAAAAAGCCAAATGTTAAAATATATAGCTATATATAAAATAGTGAAATTAATAATGGCAAATGGATAATATTGGTTTACACAAAATTGAATTATAATATTGATTACACAAAAGTCACAAAAATAGGATGAGACTTTGAAATCATTTTGGTTCTTGGTTATTTTGATTTGGTATCTGATAATAAAGTGATGTTTTTATCTTTCTATGGAAGAGCATTGTAGCTCATTACACTTGTGCCCAACAGGAGTGGGTGATGGGTTAACAGAAGTGCTTTGGGACGGCTCAGGCAGTGACGGTCATGCCCTTGGGCAAGTCCCTTCATTCCCATGCACCCTCCCTTCTCTGACACACGAGTAACTCCCTCCTCCGATGGCTGTGAGGTCCTGTGTGACACCCTCAGCTTCATGGCGTCTGACACCCAGTAGATGTTGGACAAATGATGATTTTGTTTTGTTGCTGGTTTAAACCACTGCAGCCAGGTTTCCTCTGTGCTTACCACGTGGCCGTGCTCCAAAGTGAGGTGCGTGTGCACACAACACGCCCCCCATCCTCACAGCCTGGGCCTTCCATGCACAAACAGGGACACAGAATAGTACCCTTCTCCAGCCTCAGAGCTGAGTGCTGCACTGGGCCAGACCCCGGTCACCTCCTAGGACGGCCCACCTAGCCACACAGCACAGGGCGGCCACTGCTGCAGTGACACAGGAGACATGCCACACAGGAGCCAAGGTCACTGGAGTCAGGTAGCAACCGTGACCACTCATGCAGTGCTCACCCACTGTCCCCTGCTGTCCTGTAACTCAAGATTTAAACACTAATAAGCTCTGAAGAAGCCAGTGGTTTTCATATTCAGTTAGCCCCTTGGCCAGTAGGTGGCACTAAATAAATACCTGAAGAGACTAAGAAAACAGAACGGGCACTGTACCATTGCTGGCCTTTGACTTTTAAACAAAATAATGAGAACGCCCCACAGTCACCGCATCTGAAACAAAAACACAAGTGAAGGAGTCCACGTACGGATCCCCATATCTAAAGACTCAAATTTCATCCGCCTCACTTTTCCCTGCTGTATTCCACCTACTCCAACACTCCATCGTGAGAGTCTATCCTCCTGTGGCAGCAGCTTACTTTATTTTCTATAAGTAAAAATCCATGGCCTCCTTAATAAAAAGCGATGCCTCCAACAATCAAGGGGAGCCAGGCGCCGCACTCTGAGTTGCTCAATAAATGCTTTTCAAAGCGATTTAAGTGGAATTGAAGGGTTTTTTTACAGTTTAAATTCATTTGAGCTGAAACTGGTGAGAAGTTCCAGGCAGTTTCTTTCCAAAACATGACGTTGCTGTTCCAGTCATTCTAATGGCATGGAAAATCCCCTGCTCTGATGCTTGAGGACACACACAGGGGCCGGGAATCTGCACCCTGCTCGGCGGATCTGAGCAGATCTGAAACTGCACAGGGACAAGACCAATGCGTGTGGCCTCAGGTTCCCACCCTGCACCAGAGGACACAGAGGGAGCCTGGTGCGTGCGCTGCGAAGGCAGAACCTAACCGCCTCGGCTTCTGACAGGTGGCACCTGAAGTCTAAGGCTGAAGTTCAGACACAGCTACGGGGTCCCTAAACCTAACAGGTGACCTGAAAATGATTTCCAGTCTCATTTCCGGACCTCAGCGCCAGCCCCTCCCTCACCTTCCAGTCACCCCCACAGCCCCCCACCCCCCTTCTCATGATGTTGGGCTGTGACTGTGGCACTGTCCAGGGCAGCTTGCTTCCCACCCCTCCCTTTGGCCCTCTGCCCCTGCACTCCCCCAGACTCCCCTCCTGCGTGGGCTCTCAGGGGCCACAGAAGAAGTTTCTGTCCAGGCTTCTCTCTACCATTTTTTGCTTCATTTTCTCTGCCACCTGCAGCTCAAAATAACCCAGTGCTGCTCCCCTCGTGCCTCTCTGAGACCCAGGGCCACGCTGCCGCTCTCCTTGCACGGCCATCCTGGAGGAGGGGTCCTGTGTGCTGAGGGCACCCCCCATCCTGGGCAGCTCTGCGCACACCCACAGGAGGGCCCAGGCTGCTGCTGGCTCCGTCCGCCCCCTCTCGGGCTCACCTAAGGAAGGCTCCTGGACTGAGCATGACCTGGATTTCAACTGCCTGGGAGACGTCACCATGTGGCGGGGGAGCTCCTTCAGTTTTTCTTCCACGGAGGAAGCACTGCCACCTCTCCAATGTACTTAATTTCACCGAACCCTTGTAATCCCCAAGATTTTCAGTATGTTCATAGATCTATTCCGCACTTGCATTTGATCCCCGGACACATCCTCGGATGCTTCATAAAAACTGGCTGATTTTCACGAACCTCTCCACTGCTGAATGACATTCATGTGGTTGAGAATTTAAAGGGAAACAAACTCTGTATTGGACAAACCCTGGTTGATATACAGAGTGTAACTGCCCAAGCCTGGACGATGGTTTTCCATGAGATTATAAATCATTTACTGTGGCATCTGTCATGGGTCATGAGGAATGAATAAAATGAACAAGGGAATTAGAGGCAGTTGGACTTGGAATTTGCTGACATTATGGCCCTGGCTCCCAGATGCTGGTTTGGAAGAGTCATGCCCACCTCTGCCTGGGGAGAGCAGCTCAGGTGTCTTCCCTTGAGCTGGCGGCAAAGCCCCTGTCCACTAGGCATCCAGAGGGCAGACCAGGACCTTCTCACCCACACCCTCACACTGTCTTCTTAATGAAGTTAGAGGGGAAACTACTCTTCCCTGTCCTTCCTATTAAGTCAGCTGTGTTGCTTCCATTGGTTAACTGTGCTCTTGTCATAACTGTGCTGCTTATTCATGCTCTGACATTTCGGTATTGGTATTCAGCACATTAACAAGTTAACATATCTGAACAAAGAAAACAGGCTACGCTCTTCTTCCCAAGTTGACTGCAGACATTAATTCTGAACTGTGTTAGAGAATGATGTGACCCTCAATATGGTACGAGCTCAATAAATGGTCATAAAGTTTGTGGGGTTTTTTGGGTACCAAGGATTGAACCCAGGAGTATTTAACCACTGAGCCACATGCCTAGCCTGAGTTGCTGAGGCTGGCTTTGAACTTGACAATCCTCCTGCCTCAGCCTCTTGCACCACCACGCTCTGCTAAATTGAAGTCATTTACAAGCACACCTGAGAGTAGGTAAGTAAGCCGCAGAACTGATTCGATATGCATTCTTAATGAGAGTCCAATCTCCAGACTCAGGCTGAGCTCAGGAATGCATTAGAGTAGATTTAAAATGTTAAGACTTAGAATTAAAAGGACGATATGTAATACTAATCCATGTATTGAACAAAAGTTTCTCTCGCTTCTCCACGAGGGATAGAATGCTGTGCATTTTTGGACATTCCTGAGTAAACGTCTCATAGTGGAAATCACCGCCCTGAAGTGCCAGCTGCACAGGCAGGTGACATGCAAGCACACAGCTCGACGTTCGCAGCCCAGTGGCTCAGAACTTTAACTTGACTCTCAGATGGAGGGCAGTGTTTGGGGGAATGATCTAAAGTCACGTCACACGGAGCCCGCTGATTTATTTCTAGCAACATCTCTCCCTGGGAGGTGCAGGAGGAAGAGAGCACGGTTTTGACATAAACATGTTGTGGTCTCCTGCCATCAGTCTTCTCTACCGTCCCTCGTCTATGCCAAAGTGTTTTACCCTGTGTATTTCTCAGGTTCTCTCCCTCACCACCTGACACAGTCCTGCCCCGTGGCAGGGTAAGACAGCCAACAGGTACTGGAAGCTAACAGGTACTGGCTGGACGAGCCAGCAAGAGACTGGGTGAGTTCCACTGTGTGCAGAGTGGCTTCCGTGTAGGCTGAGGACAGGAGAGTCACACCCCAGGCTGGAGGAGAGCTCACAGCCGTCGGGAAGAAGGCTGGGCCGTGCCTACTTAGGGAGCTTCGTGCCCAGGCAACAGAATCTGGCGTTTTGAGAAGTCACATGACTGCAGCTCACAGTCCAGCTGCCCTCCTCTTGCCATGGACAGTGTGAGTGGCCAGGGGCTCCCCCCCACAGCACAGCAGTCCTGCCAAGTCCAGCCTGCACCTGAGCAGGCGGGGCTCACCTCCTCACGTGGGCCTTCTCCCTGGACCAGTGCCCTCTTGTCCCCTCCTCCTAGCTGAGGGACAGGGCCCAGGCCCTGTCTGACTCTGGCAAGCACAGCTGTCCTGCCCTCCAAGAGTGGCTCCTGGGACCTGCGTCAGAGGATCATCAAGAACCAGGAAGACAGGGAAGTACGCGGAAGGGCCCTGAGGCCATCCATTGAGAAACAACGGCATCAACCTGCGATGACCTGAGGGACGCCGGATGGGCAAGGGAGCCAGGACGGTGGGACACTGAGACTTTGTGCAGAGGGAGAGAGGCTGGAAAGGGGGTTGCTGGTTTCTGGCTGCAAAACTGAGAGGACGACGGGGCCATGAGCTGCTTCTTCCGCCTGCTGTACCACGAAAGCCCCGGCAGCAGAACTTCCTAGAGCCACGTAGCAGCAAGAGGCAGGGGGGACGATAGCGGTCGGGCCTGGGCACAGCTTCCGAGCTTCACTGTGAGGATCCCTCCAGCTTGACCTTCATGCCAAGCTGTGCTCTGTGTCCTCCTCGAGGCCTGCTGGTACCTCGGAGGTGCAGAGCGGGTGAGTCTCCAGGGCCATGGACCCCACGGCCCCCCGGGCTTCCGGATTGATCTAGGATCGGCTCAGCGGTTAGGTTCATCACCGCCTCAGCATCACTTTCAGATGCCTTGAGACTTTATCATCAGTGCTCGAGAATCCTCAGGTCAGTGTCCCCGAAGTTCCAAGCTGGCACTTCCTACAGGAGCATCAGTGTCCCCTGACTTTATTCTAAGTCCAACCATTCAGAGCAAATATAACAAAAGAATACGTTCAAGATATTTTAAATGCACTAAAAATAAATGTTCACTTGAACATTAAGTTGCACCAGGGCTTAATCAGGTTTTTCCTTTCCCTTTTTATCCTTCCCCAGTTTCGCCTCCTTTTGCCCGTGATAGCGTCCCCCCGATTTGTGACACCATCCTTTGCTCAACATGCCCACTCACGCGTCTGCCCAGCCAAAGCAGCGACTTACGTGTTTAAACCTGGCGTCGAATGCGGCCCTGCTGGAGTCAGACCTGAAGGTCAGGTGCCGCATGATTTGCTTGCTGGCCTCCGACTTGCCAGATCCTCGCTCCCCACTGAGAAAACAGGGAAAAGAGGTTCACTAGTTCAGAGAAGGCACTGAAGAAATTAGATAACCAGAGGTGACTCCAGACGCAGAGATGGCAAGGAGCGACATAAACATGTCCAGTGACTCTTCATTGGACACACTGGCCTCAGACGTCTGGTGGACCTACGTGTGCTGTGTGTGGACGGTGTCCCAGACGTCCAGGCTACAGATGGAGGTGCCCTAACTCCTCTCCCTGTGACCCACCCAGCAGAACCACAGCCCCTGCTGCAGCAGAAAGGCTCAGGCTGCCTCAGGAGGGGCGCAGCAGGTACGTCCCCTGTGTCTTGAGTGACAGCGGTGACAGCCGTCTAGAGTGGGAAGGGCATGTGTCCCAGAGCCGTGGGGTGCTGGCCTGGGGAAGCCATTGAGTCTCTCTGCACCGCACAGGGAAAGTCGCGTCCTCCCCAGCACGTGCTCCTCTCCCGGAAACAGCCTGAAGCCGCAGCCACTCCTGGGACGTGAGGTCTTGGACCCTGAGCCGCCAGCCTGGCCCTCGGGAGGTCCTAGGGGGGACCTTTCCAGGTTCCCCAAGTCCAGGTGGTTCTCTAATTAGTCCTCTCCTCTAACCCAAGGAGAGCCGTCACCCCCAAGCTTGCAGTTTATGATGACAACACTGACGTCCCCACGTCCCTCCCTAGCTTATAGCATCTCTCCAAACAGCAGCCACACTACATTCCTGACACCAAATGAAGTCAGATCATCCTGAGGTTCCTACACAATCATGACCAAAACAGCCCGGTGTTCAGTGACATTATTTATGACTCAGATGGAAAATTCATATATATATTTGATCACTGAGCCACATCTTTGGCCCTTAAAAAAATTGAGACAGAGTCTTGCTAAGTTATCAAGGGCCTTGCTAAGTTGGTGAAGCTGGCCTCAAACTTGCCATCCTTCTGCCTCAGCCTCCCAAATTGCTAGTTATTACCGACATGCGCTACCAAGCCCAGCTCACAGAAAAATTCTAAAGTCCTTTTATTAGAACTTTTGCAGGCTTCTGTAAAGAAGGTTTTGTTCTAATGGAGTTGGTTAAAAGGCCTGTTATGGTTTAGATATGAGGTGCCCTCCAAAAGCTCACGTGTGAGACCATGCAGGAAGTTCAGAGGTGGAATGACTGGGTTGTGAGGGCGTCCACCTATCGAGTGCCTTAATCTACTGGACTGGGTCGGCTGGGTGTGCTGTGGGCAGGTGAGGTGTGGCTGGAGGAGCAGGTCACACGAGTCGTGCCTTGGGACCTGTATTTTGTCCCTGGTGAGCACAGCTCTCCCTCTCTGCTTCCTGATGGTAATGTCCAGACGTCCTTCCTCCCCACATCCTTCTGCCAAGATGTTCTGCCTCAGCTCAGACACAGAGCAATGGAGCTGGCCACCTGTGAACCGAGACCTGAAGTCGTGAGCCCCAGTAAACTTCCCTCCTCTGCTGTTCTCCTCGGGTCTTCTGGTCACAGCAGTGAGAAACCTGACTAAAGCAGGGCTTCTGCCAGAAAAGCCCTTAAGTCCCACATCGTTAATGAAAGTCTCTACTCCCCGCATCCGAACCTTCCCTTAACGTTTTACTATTAGAACCTCAAATTTTCACAGGACACCCGTTCAGGAGTACTCGAGTCTTGCTCACCAGGTCTTAAATGACCCTGGCAAATGCCACCTCCGGGACACAACGTGAGCACAGAACAGTGTGTAAGCCGCTTCGGCGACTGAATTACACAGGATCAACCCCACTGGGTGGGGTGGAGAAGGCCTCTGCTCTAGACAGGAGAGCTGCGGAGGGGTCAAAGCCACATGACAAGGCACAGTTTTGAGAGAGAAGAGAGAAGGGCCACCATCAGAACTCCCTGTGAGCTCAGATCTGGGCTTGGTTCTGCAGGCAAGGACCCGGTGAGGCTGCTTGGAAACTTGAGAGAAGAAACAGTTGATGTGGCATTATTAATCTTAGAAAATGTCCCAAAGGAACACTGGTTCTATAAGTTATTATCAAGTTTCCCAGGAGAGAAATTCCATAAGCAAATACGTGCAGAACTCAGGTTGAACAAAGGGAGCCCGCTGTTCCAACAAAGGCACTGGCTGGGAATCATGGACTCTGTCCTGGCAGACCCCAAAGAAGGGTGGTCACTGGCTCCTCCCTTGCCTGACCCAGCACACCTCGGACCCATGCTCATCACGACTCAGGGACAGCGGCTGAGTGGTCTGCTCTAGAACTGAGTAATCAGTAAGAATCTCAGTCACTTTGAGTATTTATGACCATCATTTTAGGGAAGATCAGTAGGGCTCTTGATGGTCCCCTTGGGTAGCCATGGGAAGTTGGGGTGCACTCCCTTCTGGCCATACAAGGGGTTTAGCTTGTTTAGGCTCAGGATAGCCTCTGAGCTGGCACCATGTAAGTGCTCAGTAAATAGTAGTTATCGATGTCAATGCTATTCCCCACTCCCCACCATCTCATCAACTTACAGTATTTCCTAAGCGATTTTTAGATGTGTTTCTCTTTTTAATAAAACCTGGGAAACCCAATAGGAAAGCAGACAAAGGAGAGCTGCTTCATCAGGGATGGGTGAGGGGCCCCAGCCTACGTCTCTCGTCCCTGGAGCTCTTCCCAACACAGTGTGAAGACTGCTGTGCGCCATCTTGGAACCTAGCGCACTAGAGCTGAAACACATTCATCAAACCCTCCAAAGGATCTTTGATGAGATCAATGATGTCAAAGAAAATAAATAAATGCTTAATTAAAAAAATTAAATCAGAACCTGGGCAGGTTCCATCTTTACACTGTCCCTGCGTCATTTGGGCTGGTGTGCTACTTTCCTGTACACATTCGGTTTCCAGCCACCAGCTCTGGCAGTCAGGAGGCCAAGCTCGCACACTGACAGATGTCTCCCTCCAGCACGGGTCGCTCGGATATAATTCCATGACGCAGAGTTTGGTAGTTAAACATTTCTTGAATCTCTCAATATGTAAGCCCAGTCCCTCACCCCCACATCTTGTGGTGGTCCCCTTTATTTGAAGAAAATTTATGGGGTTGAAAATCAGCATTACATATCAGATTAAAAAGAACACCCCTGGGGATATCTCCTGGTGAGGCATGAGCGGGGGGCAGTGGACACCGGAGCCGCAGGCAGGGCATTCGCTGCCGGCACCGAGAACGCGGCTCCGGAGCACCCGCCTCGGCTTGCTGTCTGTGGGCTTGAGAGCCGACTCACCGTGGTTCTCGGTTTCAAATCTTCACAGTGAAAAGAGCTTCAGGTTAAGTTGGTTGGTACTGATTGCACTGCACTTGGGGCTACTGCTGATAGGAAAGGTGTCCCTGCGTGACAAGTCAATCGTACTCATTGAAGTGATGACATGAGTAAGTGCCAACCAGGACCAAGGAGGTCATTGTCCCCACGAGCTCCTGGGGCACATCCGAGCATGGGGTGGGCGAGGTGACTCACCTGAGAAGGAAACACTGAGGCCTCCGCTCCCGGAACAGCTGGTGAAAGGCCCTCTCTGCGCAGGAGAACAGGTGGGGAGGCAGCGAGGGGCTGGGCCTCCCCGTGTGGCTCAGGTAGAGGTGAGAGACCTGGAGGCGGGACAGGAAAAAGAACACGTGTGCAAGGTCCCGGACACTGTGCAAGGTCCCGGACACTGTGCGAGGTCCAGGACCCTTCCTCCCCTGACGTGGTGACTCCTGTCCCATCTGCTACAAAACTGAAGGGCTCTCTCCTTTCAAATCTCATTGGATCCACAAAACACTCACAAAGTTCCACGCCCTGAGCACATTTCAAGGCATAACATTGAGTTCTATATTTTATCCTTCATTTCTTGGTTCACAAGCCTTAAGATATTCTGCTGTCTATAAGAACAACGCAGAAAACTCCAACAGATACCCGTGAAGGAAGCGAAAACCACGTGTCATGGTTGAGATGTGGTGTCCCCAAAGCTCCCGTGTGAGACAATGCAGAAAGCTCTGGAGGAGAGATGATTGGGTCGTAGCCTTAGCCTAGTCCGTGAGTCCATCCCTGATGGGATTAACTGGAGTGGCAGGGGGCTGGACAAGATGGGCGTCGGGGTGTGGCTTTGGGGTCTACATTTGCATCTGGTGAGTGGAGTCTGTTTCTGATCACCTGTGAGCTATTTCCCTCTGCCACTCTTCCTCCATGATGTTCAGCCTCCCCTTGAGACCTGAGGAATGGAGCCAGCCTTCCCTGGATTAAGACCTGAAACCGTGAGCCCTCAAATAAACCTTTTCTCCTCTACAATCGTCCTGGTCCGGACCTTCAGTCACAGCAGCAAAAAGCTGACTAAAACACCGTGGCAATTCACGTCCCACACAATCTCTCGCCACCCTGAGCGCTGACGGCCTAAGTGAACAAGGCTTCTCACCTGAAGAATGAGAAACCAGTTGCTCCTGAATTGAACAGGAATTTACACATTTATCAGGAAAATACAAATTAATTCACTTAATGGCGATATATATGATGCTACAGGATTTGTTGCTAGCACTGTTTGTCCTTTTGAGTTTCTGCTGAATTTCATTACATCAGAATGAAAACATAAGGAAGACAGAATCCAACCACGCCTCCAGGGAGGAAACCCCACCTACACACCGTTGCTGCTGTTTTAACCAGAGAGGAGAATCATGGCGCACTGTGTGCCAAGCTTGTGGGGGTGTGTGTTGGGCTCAGAAGGTCTCTGAAACTCCCAAACAGGACCAGAAAACAAACCCATCAAACCAACCTCAGCAGAAAACACTAATAATTTAGAAATCTGCAGTAGAGATTAATGGGTAAGGATAATGGTGTTTCAATACAAAAAAAAAAAAAAGGCATTTGTAATTTAGAACACACTAACTAGGACTAAATCTTTCAACAAGGAAAACTTTTAGAAACCTATAGTTAATGGAGTTTTTTAGTTTCTTTTCTTTTTTTTTGTAAAAAGACATAGGTAATATGTTATTTGAGTAAATTAAAAACTAAAATATAATGGCATCTGCAGTTTTGGAATGATTATATGCATGAATGGAAACGTATACAGTAAACATGAATGAAAGGTAGCAGCTGTGAGGTGGTGGCAGCTGCCGCACCTGTGTCCACGACACTGAAGACCCCATGAGTTAAAACACAGCATCATGTGAGTACCACCCAGAACACACGCCGCGGTTAGACCAGGGTGCGTTTTCTTACTGCATCTTTCCAGCTGCACCTCAGGAGTAGACAGAGAAAATGTGGCATCTGTCACTTACAGTATCTAAAAGAGTCACATGGACGGTGGGCACACAGTCTAGCGTATTTTATTGACACTTTTGTGCTTTTCATCATTTCAGACTCTAAATGAACAGTAAAACTAACGAAACCGCAGCCCTCACAACCCCCCTGTGTGGAGCCCAGGGTCCCGTCCTGGCAGGACAGACGTCGGTCCTAATGCTGCTTCACTTTCCCCAGTCCACGAGGCGTGATCTGACTTTGCTGAGAGTGTCATGAAGTACCAGGAGCACAGGGGACAGCGGGGACCCAGAAGCATGCGGATCTCACGCTGTTCTTGAAACCCCTTGGGGTCTCCCCTCCTCTGAGGCCGAGTTTCACTAGAGGTCAGACATGGAGAAGAACCTGGCGTCTCCAGACGGGGTCTTCATAATAATCCCACTCTTCACCGCCTCCTGGCAGGTCAGGATCCCCAGATCCCACTGGGTGACACTGCTCAGGGAGGTCAGTGCTGTGATTCCTGATCCCATAGTGAGATAACATTCCCTCCTCCATGTGTTCTGCCAGAAAGTGGGGTTTTCTCCTAGCTCTAGCTCTCCGAGGAGGACTGACAGGCCTCTAGCTTGTCCACTGCTTCTCATGTCCACTGAGGACATGATCGCACATGCTCCTGTGTCCAGCCAAGGTGCTCGGGCCCACACTTCCTTTCTCTCTCCATGTCACCTTCTTCTCTGCCCCTCTGTGTCACTGGGGACAACACAACTCCAGGACCCGGGACATGTCAAGCATTCTACTCAGCTCAAGGGTGGGCTGGCAACAGACCAGCTTTGCTGCATCTCCCTGACCTTGTCGGGCCCTCTGGGAACACGGATCAGGGAATCAGGATCAGCTCCGTCCTTTCCTCCTCTGTGCACACATGATGCCTCTCAGTGAACTGCCAGCAGATGGCAGAATCCGTCACGGGTTCATTTCTGAAGTTACCACTGACTTCCACGGATTATGAAGGGGCCATTCCGCTGCTGGCCCCATCTGTCAGGACCATGGTGACCTCACGGAAGCTGCCAGGAGCCGATGGCTTGAGGTGGCAGGGGCTCTGGCTTCACACGCTACTGAAAATGAGCAGCATCTAGGTACAGGGGCATACTGTGGAAAAGCTCATGTTCTTCACAAGAAACTGCACGTGAGTAAAGACGGCATTTGCTTCTGGGATCCCCGAGGGTGGACATCTACTGAGTGGTACCCTAATCTAACTTCACACTCCAGGCCTAGGCCCGACTTTAACGTTCAACCTTTGAATGTCTTGCTCTTCTCAAACTGGACTGTGCCTTCTCTACATGGTCATGTGTTGCTCGTCTCCAGAGCCCTCGACGCCCTTTCCCCTGGTATCTCCCTCATTCCTGGAGCCTCAGCCCACTCCCATTTCCCTTCTGTGGACGGCCTTTCTGGCCTGGATCCCATTTCTCTCCTTTCGTCCTCCTGACTCTCAATCAGCCACACCCTCCACACGGCTCCTGTGCTCCTGTCCTCGGCGCAAGTGCTGTTTTGGGTGCTCTTTCGTGTGATTGGTGTCCGTCTCTAGAATGTCCATGCAATTTTAAGGATGAAGACAACCACGTGGCGTCTCTCAGTATTTCACACACGGTATCATGTTAATGGATTCCACAGGTGTTAACTGGCTTGGTAAAGCTTGCTTGCTTCTGATTTTAAGTTGCTTTTTTGTAAAGCTAGTGCAGAAAGATCTAGCTACTTTTCCATCTTCTCTCCTACATTCTACATGTTGAAAACTAACGATGTCACTTGTCCTCAGCATGAAGGGACAGCACATGTCCCACTGCTGGCCTGCCAAGCTCCCCTTCTCAGCGACTGTGAGTGTCAGATTGACGTTGCCACAGCAGCAAGGATCTAACGGACAGGGCTTCCTGCTGCCGTACGTTCACATTCATCTTGGGATAAACCTGGCCAAGAAGAGGGTCCTGCATCCACAATGAATGACTTTCTGGAAGTCAGAAACAGACATCACCAAGGCCTGAGACAGATCCCCAGTGCTAACAAGGGGAAGGGGAAGCACAGATGGCCTGGGGCATTGTGACTCTGAACATGGACGCTGTTCTCCTGGCCTTCACCATCTTCATAAGTAAGATCACACCTAATGTGTTATTTTATCCTTTAAATAACCCTATCACCATGGGAAGACACCAAACCGTTTGGGAAATAATTATCATTTAAAAAAGACAGACATATAATGATAATCAATAGACACAGAAACGATATTCTTTTCTTTGTGTGTCCAGGGGACAGCACGGTCACTGTAATGCAATTTTTTAGATTATTAACCTCTAGCACTGCTGCAGAGGATGCTCACTGATTCACCCTAACCTACATCACTGCACCTGCCCCTATTAGGTTTTGTAGACCATCAGATTCTGCATGATGGAGGGGTTTTCTGAAAGCACCATGCCCTTTGGAATCCCCTGGGACCTGTAGAATGAGGTAATGGTGTGGTAAGCTTTGTATCAGTGTGCTTCCACTTCACATGTTCTTCTATTTACTTCCTTCTTATGTTCCATGACATTTAGAAATGATGAGCATGAGTGAAGTGTGCATGCAAAACATATATTAAATGTTAATATTTTTGTATTAAACATGTAATTAAATTTAGTTATGTAAATTATTAAATACATAGTAAGCCATATGTTTATAATTTTGGACATTATACCTTTTATTTTAAGTTGTGATGAACTATTCTGGCTGCCAACCCAATGTATTACATTATTTTTCTACATTAATAAAGAATACACCTCTTAGCGTGTGTCTCCTTTTGTCCAGTAATATGTATTTCTGAAAAAACTATGAACATATTATTTAAAGCCATAAAACTGTCTTACTGTTAACATTAAAAAAAAACAAACAAACCTACCAAATAGTAGACTGTTTCCACCACAAGATGCAAGAGTCTATGACAAAGAAAAGTCATATCCAAACCCTTTATTTGTTAAACTTGGGCCCCTACATTCAGAGGAGCATTTAAATAAGAGTTATTTTTGTGTATTTTTTCATTCCGTTTTTCAAAACTGACTTTGTCTCACTGTAAAATTCTTGTCAGCTTTACAATCAACTGTGATCCTGTAGCTACCTCAGGAACAATGTCCCACAGTTCATTTAAAATAGACGCTTGCTCTCCCACCTTCTCTCTTCTCCCCTACTCCTGCTAAAAGGTACACCCGAGTTAACTCACAATGAACTTCCAGTCAAGCTCAGGATTTGAAGGCACAGGACCCCCTGTAAGGCCCATGGTACCCTGTACCTACAGGAGCTGCTTTCCTGTGAATCCTCCCACAAGCAGCTGTAAAAACTGTATGAAACACAAACAAAGCATCTGAACTGTAGGCCAAAGTGCTGGGACAGAAGAAGCCAAGACGGTGGAGAAACCCAGATGCACCAGCCAGGGGACTTGCTGTGACGCTTTCTGAGCACACATGGTCCTGTTTCTGAGTGAAGCTCAGTGGCCTCACAGGAAGTGAAGTGTCTGAGGAGTAAAGCAGAGATCGGAGCAGTCTTCCAGGGCTCAGAGGACAAGGTCAGCTTCTGTTCCAGACTCAGGGAAGGAGGACAGCCCAGCGGACATCAGCCCTGTGCACATCAGCCCTGCTCTCTGCAGACTCACCAGGGCCACGGCTGCTGGAGAAGGGAGAACCTAAGGTGCCTCCGCGGGGAAGGGGCCTGCCTGCCGCTCACCTGCCCACCAGGGAAAAGCAAGTTCTCCTGTGGGGAGGTAACAGCATCCCAGGCTCTGCAGGCTTCCACAGGGAACATTCAGTGTTTAACCCCCAAATTCCATGAGTGTCAGTAAATACACCATGGAATAGAAAACACACACACACTCACACACACACACACACACACACACACTCACGAAAATAATCCCAGGATTACAGGCATCAGACTATAACCATCAGCAACTGACATGGCCAAGAAAAGAACAGAACAATGAAGAAATTCATCAGAGATCAAGAGAATAAAATGGAAATTTTAGCATTTAAAAAATAACATAACTAATGCCCACAATTTATAGATGACTTTATCAGTAGATTCAAAAGAAGAGAGAATAACTATAACCTGGCAGGCCACCTGCCCAGATTATACGTCAAGAACAAAAGTAGAAAACAGAAAAAATAATAAGGTTTATATTTTTATAGAAGTCATATGACAAAGAAAAAATCACAAATGGAAACAGAAAATATCTTAAATTCAATGATAATGAATTTATGAATTCAGTAAAGATGCATTGAAAGTAAAATAAAAGCCTCAAGATCTTATTTTATTAACAAAGGCCATAAGTAAGTGGTAAATCTATACCATGTAAACAATGATCAAAGTGAACTCAAAGAAAGCAGGAAGAAGGGAAGGCCAAAGGCAGAGAGGTCAAATGAGAACAAATATGCTATACAAGAAGCCAAGATATTTTTCTTAGAAGATATTAATACAATTAATAAATTCCTAGATCATTGATTTTACGAAGACAGAAAATTCTTTAAAAACACAATTATTAGGCCAGGCTCAGTGGCACACGCCTGTAATCCCAGCGGCTCAGGAGGCAGAGGCAGGAGGATCTCAAGTTCAAAGCCAGCCTCAGCAATTTAGCAAGGCCCTAAGCAACTCAGTGAGACCCTGTCTCTAAATAAAAATTTAAAAAGAGCTGGGGATGTGGCTCAGTGGTTAAGTGCCCCTGAGTTCAATCCCTAGTACCAAACAAACAAACTAAAACCCCACAACTTTTAAAAACTTAAATAAAAAGGAACAAGAACACAAAGAGCCCCATATTTGTCAGTGAAATTAAACCCAGAACGAGAGCCCTCCCTACAAAGAAAACAGCAGGCCTTAGTGGTCCCCTGGTGAGCTCTTCCAAACACTGAGGAAGAAATAACACTGAGCTCACACAGACTCTCTCCCGGCTTGAAAACAGAACACACTTTCCAATTACTTTTATGAATTCAGCATAATTTTGATATGAAGGACTAAAAAAATAGCAAAAGAAAAATCAGAGGCTGATCTCTGTCATGAGCATCAATACAAAAATCTCTAATTATTATCTAATAGAATTCAATATTATAAAGAAAATGAATGAAACATAAAAAAGAGGGTTTGCTTACCATTTGAAAGTAAGGAAACAATTCATAAACAAAACAATAAATGAGAAAAATGATTATCTCATTTGCACACACAAATATTTGTTAAAATCAAATATTCCATTCATTATGAACCCTCTTATGAAAATACCAATAAAATGAAGTTTCCTTGACCTTATAAATTAAAAAAACATCTTCACACCTGATATGAAGTTATTAAAGTCTCCCCTGAGATCAGGAATAATTTTTTACTTTTAAATTGAACTACAGTTTCTATTTACCAATTTTATGGTTATTTTATCTGGTAAAAATAAGGAAAATCTAGCAGAAGGGTTGTAACAGAAGAATTTTTTTTTTTTGAAGAAAGCATTATTTTGTGCACTTTAATAAGAAAATAATTTTATACCTATCAAGTGAATTTTATAACTTACTAGATTTAAGATAATGTTATTTTTTAAAATCTTGCTTTACATGATGACCATATACAGGAAAAAAAATTTAGCCTATTATTTATAATAGCATTTAAAACATGGAATGAAACTATGTAAGATATCTCCCTGAAAAGCAGAAAGATTATTCCCTGGGAAGAATTCAAAAGAAATAATATATTTAAGAGGCTTGGAACTTCTAAAATTGTAGTTATTCTCCAGCTTCATGTAATAAAAATTAAGATCCAGGAGACTCTCACGCCCCTCCCAACACACCCAGGAGTTGATGAGCTGACTCCAAACCACAGAGAAACGCTAGAGCCAGCCATACTCAGGCCAACGGTGAGCGGCCAATATGAAGGTGTGCAGTGGGGACACTGCCGTGCAGAGGGGACGTTGCCTCCACAGGCCTTTCCTGTATGGAGACCTGGCTAAGGAGAAGGGCCCCCACAGTGCAGAGGGGAAGGGGGTCTTTAGAAAACAAGGCTGTGTCAAATACACATAAAGAATCTCACCCTCCCTCTTCCAAGGTGTTTCCCACGTGCATTTAGAATCCAGAATCCTTAAAGGTCCTCAAGCCACTGAGAAAAAGGTGACCCAACAATTTTAACACTTTTAATTTGAAAGTCTTGGACAGGCACTTCACAAGGAGGATGCCCTTGGCGATAGTCATGTGAGATGTGGTCAGTGCCACTGCTTCTCAGAGAAGCACATACTGAGACAAAAACAAGATTCCAGTCTATACCCAGGAGAGTGGCAGACAGAGCAAACAGGATTCGCTTATCCAAAGAAGAGAAGCAACCAGATTGCTGCATTCTGTTGGCGAGAACATCAATTGGTAGAACCTCTTGGAAAATTGCCAGCATGTCCCCAAACTGAGCACACAACACACCTGGAGCCACCAGTCCCCTCCTGGAGCCATGCCCAGCAGCACCAGTGCACAGGTGGTGCTCAGGGGGTGTGAGAAGCTTGTGGTCACAAGGACCTCGCACAGACCTGATTTAAACTGCCACACAGCCACAAAAGGGAATGTTCACAAGTCGGACAAAGGAAAAACGCCTACTGTTTCCTGTGCTGCTCTGCACAGACACATCCGCGGTGTTCGTGACCCTCCGTTCCTTGACCTGCGTGAGGGTTTCGGATGCCACTGCCTTGCATGAACTAGTTCTACAGAACATCTAACACTGGTCCAAGACTCTGCATTACTAGATAAACCTCACAGAAATATTATTTATGCTGCAACAGAAGAGTGGCAGAAATAGCGCTGAGCTTTTCCTGAGTTATTAAGAAGCCACGTCAGATCAACGCCAAGTCTCGGACAGAACTTCTGCAATGACTGGGAAAGTCCTCTTGCTCTTGTCTGTCATGTCCATGGACTCTTGGTGGCCTGGGGACTGGACAATGAAGACAGTGGGCAATTCCAGCGGTTTTATGAAGTTGACTTCCGGGGCCCAGGGGAGGGTCCTAGTGAGCCGCAGTGCTGTTCTCAGGAGCCGTGTGGTGAGATCTGATGTAACCTCTGTCTGTCTGTCCCTCTCTCCCACCAATCTATGGGTGTGCCTGGGCTTCAGGAGGATACATCTACTCCCTGTCTCCTACTCTCCACACACCCACTCCTTAGTGTGAATTCCACTGTAGGGCTGAGCTGGCCCATGGACACACCTAAGAGCCCTCTGAGACAGCTTTCGATCCACTACTGCTTCAACATCATCCTGTGTTTTCCAGTTGGCTGGAATAATTTTCCAAAAGTAATTTATCTCTTAATCCTGAAGGTCTCATTATGAAAACTAGCCAGTGGTTTGGGAAAATCTGCACACGCACTATTTCTCTTTCCTAGTCCCACACTTCAACCCAACAGAATCTCTTTAGGAAGAAGTCATGAGTTCAAGCAAGGGCTTTGAGGCACAGATCCCCAGGTTAACAGGAGAGTATGGAACAAGCAGCCATCAGTTTGGGTCTGTCCAGTGAGTATTATCATAGAAGAATCAAATACTTTTAGCGCTAAGCATATTTTTAATAAATAACTTTGATTTTCAAAGTTTCCTCAGAACAAACTAATTAACATGCAACCATTCATTGAGAATTTTAAAATGTTTCTGAGAAGTGTGACCTTCATTATTGTTTCTTTTATTCATAATCATTTGATACACAGGTGTATCCCCAGGGAGAGAAACTCTCTCCGGGGAGAGAGTGTTCCTTTGTGTCATTAAAAGGTATTTTAAGTTGATACTCACCAGGGTAGAGTAGATTGGGAGCTCCTTGAATGGGTTAACCAGTAGAAGGATATCCCCAATGAAAGTCTGTTAAAAAAGACAAAAATAATTCAGGAACCAATGCACAGAATCTGAAAAGAATGAAAATTACATGACTTATAGATCATCATGGGAGGTATAGAGAATAAGGCATACCATATTGCTGCAAATATTTGTAATTGAAGAAATAGAAAAAATTGAATTAAATAAAAGCAATAGGCTTTGTTCCACTAAATATGACAAGTGAAATGGGTGGCTGCTAAAAATTCATCACGGGATTCTGTGAGCCAGTCTAAATAAAAATGCATAATTAAAGCAAATAACAAATGCCTAGGAAGAAGCAAGTGGAATAAAGGCTCTGTGTTGCTGCAGGACAGTCACAGCACACACGTAAGCTGCTAAAGCACAAGAATAAAAAAGACATTTTAATTAATAAAGATCAAGTAATGAGACATAAAGTCACAAAGAACAGATAAAAGAAAGTGGTAGGATTTAAACCCAAATGCATCCGTAAGTGCAGCAGACACAAAGGTCTCAAATACTTTCATTAAAAGACACAGATTACGCACTGGATTAGAATATGAAATATGTGCTACCTGAAAGGTAAGCACCTTAAACATAAAGACTAAGCAAATTTGAAAGTCAGAGAAAGAAGCAAGACACAAATACAAACAGTACTACCAGGCGAGAAGGTGATCCTCACCACACTGGGTGCAGACAAAGTGCCAGTTAGGAAGCAGTGCCCCCAATAAGGGGGCGTTTCATGGGGACAGACTGACAAAGCAAGGAGACGGAGCAAACGCGGTTTCCGTAAACAAGATCCAGCATCATTCCCAAGACAATAAGCACAGCTACAGGGAGAGAGTATGAGTTTACAATGATGGTGAGAAATTCTGCTTAGTGGTTTATGGAATAAGCAAACGAAATTTTAAATAATTAAGTTTGATCTATTAATTTACGTAGGCCATCCTTACTACCCATGGCAGAATAGGCATCCCTCTTAGGTGAACCAGAGCAGTTTCATTAAATTCATTTATTTGTTTAATTTATTACTATTATTATTTGTGTGTGTGTGTATGTGGGGGGGGGCACTGGGGGCCAATCCAGGAGTGCCCGACCACTGAGCTACCCCACTGCCCTTTTTCAATTCTGACACGGGATCTCACCAGTTGCCAGGCTGACCTGCAGGTAACTCTCCTCCTGCCCTGGTCTCCAGAGTTGCTGGGATTATAGGCATGAACCACGGGGCCCAGGTCAATCTCACTAAATGTAGAAGATCTGAGTCAACAGGTTTGTTCTCTGATCATGGTAGAATTAAAATGGAATATTCAACCGTGTACAGGAAATTAGCTGAGAGACTTTAGGGGCTTTTACTCCAAAACAAAGCAAAACAGGTGAGTGAAGTGATGGATATGTTAATCTGCTTGACTGCAGTAATCACTATGTGCATCACAACAACATGTCATACACTCTGAACATGAACAATATAACTTATTTTTAAAACATTCATTTCAATTAAAAAATCAATTAGTAATGGATGCTTCTCCCAAATATTTGGAAATTATACAATATATCTGCAGATAACCTATAAGTAAAAAAGAAAAAAAATACAAATAAGAAAATATTTTGGTTGCCAAGCGTGGTGGCTCATGCCTATAATCCCAGCAGTGGCTCAGGAGGCGGAGGCAGGAGCATCACAAGTTCAAAGCCAGCCTCAGCAACAGTGAGGTGCTAAGCAACTCAGTGAGACCCTGTCTCTAAATAAAATACAAAATAGGGCTGGGGATGTGGCTCAGTGGTCAAGTGCCCCTGAGTTCAAACCCCAGTACCAAAAAAAAAAAGAAAATATTTTCATTAAAACAGACCAGACCAATTGGCTGCAGCTACAGATGTAGTACTATGAAGAATACAGCCTGAGAGGTCTATGCTAAAGAGGAAGGGAAGGTGGCAGTTAGTGAGTTGAGTGTATATTTCAAGGAGCTTATAAAATTACATCAAATCATACAGAAACAATGAAGAAAATTTTTTTTAAAATGTAGGAATAAAAATCGATGGAATAGGAAAAAACAGAAATAAAGCGAAAACCAAAAAAATCCAAATGGTGATCCTTTGAAAATCTACAAACTTGATCCTGATAAGAACAATCAGAGAAAAAAGAGGGAATGCACCAAATACCCGTGTCAGAAACACAACACATGAGAAGAGACGGTGGAGTGCGTCCAGCCTCCGAGTCAGACCCTCAGACAAGGTGAAAAACACGTCTCACCAACAGCGTCAGAGAAAACAGAAAACCCAACAGCTCCTTTCTGTGAACAAAATGGAATCAGTGTCTAAAACGCCTTGCACAGAGGAAGCTTAGGTGAATTCCTCCTGGCATTGAGTACAAAACAAGCCAATGTTATACAGGTTACTCCAGAAAACGACACACTTCTCATTTCACTTGAAGAGGCCTCCGTGAACGTGGTGTCAGACTCTCACCGTGTGTTATAGAGGAAGTACAGCCGACCTCCCTCATTAAAATACATGCCAAAGTCCTAAGCCAAGTAGAGACCAACTGATCAAACAATAAAGGAAATGAGAAGTTAGTATATCTCAACCAAATAGGCTTTAGTCTAGAAGTGCAATGTTGCCTTCATATGTGAAAATCAACACCTATAATTAATAATACAAAAAGATGTAGGATCATCTTAATAAATGAAGTAAAGTCACTTAATAAAAGTCAATGCCCATTCTTGATTTAAAGATAGTGATAACTTAAAACATTAAACTACCTAATCCAAGGAAAGTAACTGTAGCTGTGGTATGGCCACTCAAACTGCAAGAAGAAAATACAGAAGAAAATTTTCATGATCAAGGCCAAAATTTCTTACAGAGGACACACAACCATTAACCCTCAAGAACATGAAAGTTCTAAAGTTCTCTTCAAAAGAGGACACAAACCACTAACCCTTAGGAGGGAACACCGCCAGGAGAGTTCAGGAGAAAACCAGAAGTATGGAAGGAGGTGCATGCAAGGTGCTCATGTGCAGAGAAGGATATTCTGGTATGTAAGAACTCCTGTGTATCCAGACGAAAGAGAAAGAAAACTCACGTCTTTAAAATGGCAAATAACCAAACAGACTGTTCACAAAGGAAGCTTAACGAGCCACCACGTTCCTCAGTATTGTCATTGGTTGTCAGAGGAGTACTAAGGTCAACGAGGCACGGGGCACAGCTGCGGGAAGGGCTGGAATGTAAGCATTAATGAAACAAATCACTGGCCACACTGAAAGCTCCTTGGCCACATTTACTGAAGCAGAACCTGCTTTACGCCAACGGGGTTCCTGTCCTAGGTAATCCCCGCAATCCTTCTGCATGTTACCCACGGAAGTCCCTGCATGCGTGGACCACAGGAAGCAGGGCTCACACTGTCGGCTGTTCACAACAAGAGTGGAACGACTCAAAGGCCCCCCAGTTGAGGACCCTGGAACCCCATCAGGACACATTCACAGAGTAGCCATGCACAGGAACAGAACTTAACCGCCACGTCTACAAGCCGCTGTGCAGCCGCACGTCAGGACCACCAGGATGAGTGACAGGGAGGAGAGAGACTCCTCTCCAATACATCTTGAAAAACAGCCAAGACAAAGCTAAGGTCACAGGTGCCAGGACTTTGTAGTGACCGCTGTAAACTGGGCAGGGGGCTCTTCCAGGTACATTCGTGAAACAAAGCTCCGCTGAGCCAGCTAGCATTTCCTATCATTCTACAAACCAGGATTCCACACAGCGTTTGCTCAAAACAAGGAGTGGTCAGTGTCCACTGCAAAAAACAAACAAACAAACAACAACAACCAGAAGAATGGCAATAAAAATGAAATAATAGATTTGGAGGATATCATTGATGTAATGCTTTTAAATTACTGTTAAACTCTACAGAAGAAAAATGAAGCTGGGGATCTGATTGTGGATTCGGAAATTAGTGGATAAAGGAGATGGGGGACTTTAAAATGAAAACCTCTGGGAAGTTGCATTTTCTCTTGAGGAATAATTTTCATAGTGGCCCAATCACTGAAGGAACTTGGAAAAGTGTGCATTTCGTGATCACCAGGACGTGGCTCATAACGCTGCTGCGATCCCATGTGACCCACAGTCATAGGACCCCCTCAGGAACAGCAAGTGCACTGTGGGGATGTTCCCATGACTGGCACTGTTCCTGCCCTGCGTGCCAATGTGCTTCTCTTCCTCCACCAGCGCACAGTCAGACTGCACAGACAACAGGGAACCACGACGGCATTGCACAGCCGCAGTGTTCAATACGGGGCGGGGCAGCTTGCCCAGAGGGGTCAGTTCCCCTGGTGGAGGATCCTCTGCCTCTGACAGCAGTGTGCCAGCCCCACGGTCACCTGAGCGAGGCACAGGGTAAGCGGCGGCTGCGGGGCCAGCTCTGCAGCCCTCCACAGGCCGATGCTGTTTCAGGCTTGGCTCAGCAGATGTTCTGAGCCCTGTGTTTATTTCCTGGCTCTTTCCTTCCCGATTCTCCAGTCACATTAGCGTGTTTATGCAAATTTCTGCTGACGAGCTTCCTTGCCACCCATAAAGGACTGGAGGCTACATTCTGTTCTCCTGCTCGACTGCTGCAGGGCAGCTGGGGAAGGGTGCTCCATTCCACTCTTCTGCCGCAAGCACAGCCTCATCACCCACCATTCATTTTCTGTTTGAAGGTTGGGAGCTTCCTACTGCTGCAGAGATATGGAACATCCCTCTAAATGTTCGAGTGAATGCTGTACAATTTGTAGAAGAGTAAGTCACCACTGGTTTCAAAAGATCATATTACATAACAAATCAGACTGCGGGGAAAAGATGAGAATCCCATCAAACAACGGATTCACTAACACTTGATCTGGGCTCTGAGGAAAGTCACCACTCAACCAGCCCCAGCTGTCTGCCACGAATAAATAAACATTAACTTCTTTCTCTTGTGCTGAAAATGGGGACGTGGTCTAAGCAGGCTTCTTGTTTATTCGGTGTTTGTTGTGCAGGTAACTCTCCGTCCACTGGATACGGACATGCTCGTGTGCACACCTCTGTGCATGCCTGGAGACTGTACGTGGGTGGGAGACACAAAATGAAATCTAAACAAGAAAAACATAGAGTACTGCATAAGTTCAGGAGAAATGTGCAGACAGGTGAGAGGGTGGGAAGCAGGTGCTGCAGCGTGCACAGGATGCTGGAGGGAGGGAGGCAGGGAGCACTGGTCAAGCTTTTCAGACAGAGTCCTGCACAGAGGTGCCAGAGGGGCTCATAGGACATCAAGATGACCAGGATGGCCGGAGCACAGGACCCAAGGGGACACCAAGATGACCAGGATGGCCGGAGCACAGGACCCTAGAGGACACCAAGATGACCAGGATGGCTGGAGCACAGGACTCAAGGGGACGCCGGAGCACAGGATCCAAGGGGACACCAAGATGACCACGATGGCTGGAGCACAGGACCCAAGGGGACGCTGGAGCACAGGATCCAAGGGGACACCAAGATGACCAGGATGGCCGGAGCACAGGACCCAAGAGGGGAGCTGTAGCCCTCGAGTTAGGAAGGCCAGGGGCAGGAGGCCAGGCCTCCAGGCCCATGGGCTTCCTTAGGGCTCTGGCTCTCCTCAGGGTGAACTGGACGTCCTCTCTGCAGAAAAAGGACATGAGGGGTGTACACTCCAACAGGATCATCCCAGCACCCGCATTGAGAACAGACAGAAGGAGAGCAAGAAGCGGATGCATTTATTTGAAGTTTAATGCTAAATGCAGGAGTAGAAATGTCCGTGTGCCAGGCAGCTGCAGTGAGGGCGGCACCTCGTGTATATCCTAGAGGAGGCAGAAAAAGCAGAGGTGGACAGGGGCAGAGAAGCTGGCTGGACACACAGTGCTGCCGTCAGCCAGGAGGCCAGGTCAGGGGAGAGCAGGAGGGCAGAGGTGGGAGGGCCAACTCCGGTTACTAGAATGTCGAGATTCAGACACTAAACTGGTGTTTTCTATTTGTGGGGAAAGAGCCCTGGCTGGTAGTTCCAATTAATCAAGAGCTGATACTTCTGTAAATGAAAATAAGAATGAATTGCTAGAGAAGTGAGGCTGAAGAGTTACATGAAGACATACACAGGGGGAACCCTGATTCTCACATCCAACAGACTCAAACGATCAAATCGCAGTCCAGGTTCTTTAAAATGCTTATTTCTTTGCAGACTTGTAATAAGATGTTCACATGACCAGCAGTCCACAAAAGATGCTTAAAAACAACTCATTAAACCCATAATGTTTAAATTGCATGTCGACCCATTAGAGGTGAATCAGACACCATAACTCAGAGCAGTCCTTTGACGACATGGATCCTAGGTGGCTTAGCTCTTCAATATTTCAGGTAAGGGGACAGGAAAGCCAGGCCTCACACCATGTCAAGTTTAGATCTTACATGAATTTAAGAAACCCAGGCGATGTCAACTCTGATGATCGAGAGAGAGAGAGAGAGAGAGAGAGAGAAACTGAGCAGAGCAAGATTTATCCTGAAGACATGTTAGAGCCAGGACTGGGATAAACTGGCAGAAGAGTCTGTTGCTGGGTTGAAAAACACTGGACAGGCCTCATGAGAGCATGGTTCCACACCCAGGTGTGCCCAGCACCCAGCACGGGAGCCAGCTGTCAACCAGGCACCAACAGGGAGCACAGCCACCAACAGAGATGCCGTGCTAGTGACAGTCCACCCTGACAGCCTGCAGCTCGGGAGGCTCACTGGAGAACACCTGAGTGGAGGCTCCCCCCGTCTTTCATGGGGAAGAAACATAAAGTTGGGGGAAGAGAAAAGTCTCAGGGAGGCCCCAGGACGGGCAGGGAAGCGACATCAGGCCCTTGAGGGATGAGCAGGAAAGTCCTCGGTGCTTGGCCCAGGACCCAGGTGCAGGGCATGCAGTCCTGTAGCTGAGGTTCTAGCCTGGGGACAAGGACAGTGGTCTGCCTCCAGGAGAAACATAAGAACCACAGGCAACCGTGCAGACAGAGGCTTCCAGAGGGCCTTGTGGGTGAAAGTGACTTCAGTTCACTGTGAGAGGAGACTGAGAGGAACGAAGCCCCCAGAGGCAGGCAGGGCCAGCCTTGGAGAGGGGCTGGTGGCTTAAGAGCGGGGCCACAGAGGACGGCTGGGCATAGTGGAGAGCTAGGACCCCAGTCACTGGGAGCCTGGAGAGAGGAACACCAACATCCAGAGTCTTTCTGCATGGCAGGAAGGCAGCACTGTAATTAAGAGTAAAAAGCTTAAAAAGAAGAGTAAATATGATATCGGGGATGCAAACCACGCACACCTTACAAAAGTACCAGGGTGGTAACAGACCAAAGCAATCAGCTTTCGCCACTTAATGCCAATGACTCACTTTCATTAATTTTGATAGAAGTATTTAATTTTAAGTGTATTTACGGTGGCAGGCAATTTATCCAAGCGTCAAGATGCTGTATTGCATTTTCATAGACTAATCAGTATCTAACAATTTATGACTTGTAAAGAAATCTCATACTTCACATTTACATGGAAATTACTTAATCAATTTCTCAGTAGATTAGGAAAAATGGGTATTATCAAGGAAGGATAACAGGTATGTGCATAATCAGATTTCTCTGCAGACCTTCTGATTGGATTGCTCTCTGCTCTGTGCAGAAAATAACAATCAAAGGGAGTGGGGGCAAAGGAGGGAGGGGACAGCCTCGGGCTTTCAGATGACGAGGTGCCTACATTGTCGTCGGCGTTGGAAGAAGGGACATCCTCACCAGGAAGGGCCACTGCAAATCGACTCTCTGTACTCTTTGTCTTCTGGTAATATTTTAGCATCCTGTTATCAGAAATCTGTGTACGAATTATCTACTTTACACACAGAGGAGCTTCCTGATGATTTACAACAATAACAGTTTCTCTTCCCCTGCAAACGAGCAGCCCTCATGCATAGTCAATGAGTTGTCTCACTGTCTCTCCCAGGCCAGGCAGGGTAGAGCCAAGGAGCGGGGGCACGGCATTCTGACAAGTGACTGGCCGATCCTGCTGGGTCCAGCAAGACCTTCATGGCCATGGTGACAGCAGGAAAGTTCAACGGTGGTGAGCACTCACGTCTTGCTCAGTCTACACTCGCATCTAAACCAGCTCTGAGACTTGGAACCCGGCAGCACTTGCCCCATATAAATGAACCAGAATGAACCTGAACTCCAGGGCACTGGACCTGGCCTCCACCAGGAGCAGAAGCTACCAGGAGCCCGGTGCTTGCAGGGTCTGCAGGCCCAAGGCCGGGAGGGGCGGGCGGAGCAGAAGGCCACCCGAGGGCACTCACGTATATCTGGTTGTTCCCAAAGCGCTTCTGAATCTCGTACAGCAGGCTGCCGTCGTTGAGCTCACTCAGAGTCGCCAGGTCATCGTTGGGAGCCGGAGGCATTAGCTTGACCTGAGGAACAGACAAGTGTGGTCAGTTCTCACAGCTTTCCAGTGGGCTGTCGCCACGGTTGGAGGTTCCGTCTGCGACCTCACGTCAAAAGTGTGAGGACCACTTGAGTGTGAAGCTGTTGTGAAAAGACGACACGGATCAATACAGATGGAAAAATCCAGAGCCACAGGGGAGTGGGATGAGACAGACCCGTGCTCCACACCCAGAGTGTGCACGTGCACACCCCCGCACGACACTGTCACTCAGTCCCTTCAACCTGTCAGCCCTCCCCGCACCACAGTCCAGGCAGCTGAAGTCCTCGGCAGGACAGAGAGCTGGCACTGGGAACCCAGTCTTCCGTCTCCTGTTGCCACCGTTCATGGAGCTCAATTTCTGCATCGTTAGGAGGGGCCAGATGTGCAAAGCAGGGTCCGGGTCTGTGTGACTTTTATTCTGTTTATAATACTCTTAAGAAGCTGAGAGGGTGGGGTGACCACCAGGAGGAAAACAGAGCCTTCTTTTCCTCCCAACATTGGGAGGCAGAGCTTAAAAACTGAGCCATATTTTAAATAAGAAGACAGATGAATTTGGATTCTTTAACTACATGAATATCTAGCTTGGGAATGTGCAGTGGTCAACTTTATCGAGCATGCTCTGAAAAGTAGACCCTGGACATAATATTGCAGCACTGGTTTTCTTACGTCACACAGGGAGAGTAAAGAACACAGGATATTCCTATCCGCGTCCCTGAGAGGACACGGATGCCCACGGTCAGATTTTAATCACAGCCTGTTTGTGTTATGCCTGTTCAGGTCTGCATTCCGTATTTGTGTTGCATTTTATATTTGGTATCAGATATTGCATTATTAATTTTGTGTGCCATTGCTAAATGATTTAAACATAAACAGTGGGTGTTTTATCATCTTAGCTAAATGTTTATAAAGTGAAAAATATGACACATTGTAAAAGCTAAACATCAGGCTGGATTTCAGATATCAGGTGATCGTCCCGTGATGGAATCTTGCCGTGAGTCCCTAAAGTCCACCCACCCACTGTTTCCCAGGCTGTCCCTGACCTATCAGAGCACACACACAGTGCTGTCCTGGGCCTCGCAGGCTCAGGGAGGCGTGACCTCACGGCCACGTGTGGAGCACCCCAGGTCCATCTCTCACTGAAGAGGGACTTCTTTGGGGACGTTTGCCGGAGCGCGGTACAGAAGACGGTGCTGGGCGTGGAGGTGGGACAGGGACCCCTGCAGGGCCCTGGGATGAGCCTCTGAACACACATGGACAAGAGCGGTCACAGCTGGGAGAGGCCGGGTGGCAGGTCACTGGAGGGGAGGGGTCCTGTCAACTGCCCTAACAGAACTCCTACCGGGACCAGGGCCATCGGGCCCCATCTGCGCAGGTGGAAGAAGAGGGGCCTGGTCAGCTAGAGAGGGTGACCACAAGGCCTCTGGCGGCAGTGACCTGACAGGCTGCTTTCCTTATAACTGGATTTACAAGGAGGTGCAGGTGGGCCTACGGAAGCTCCAAGGCCCGAGTGAAATCTGTCCAAGCAAAGAATTCTGTCACTCACCACGCCGCCCTCAACAAGACCCTCAGCAATTCTCTTAGAAATGTGGCTCTTCCTCATACTCCTTTTGAGAAAAACTTATTTGCTGAACAGTGACTTTTTAAAGTTTGGCTTTCACTGTCGTAGCCTTAACCAACTGCAGTGTGGCACCATTCTGAACCAATGATGAAGTGCTTGAGGCCCAGAGATGGTGACAATTTTCCTAGGGCCACACAGCTGGTGAGAGGCAGAAGCTGGAAAGGAACTGCCGAGTATGGGTGAAGACACTGCGGCAGATGATGGTAAACAGGGAACACGCCCAGAATTTCCCTGAGCTTTCTTGCTCATCTACTGTTTGCCAGGCATTGGGATTTAGCACACAAAAGAGAGAAAAGAGGAGGAAGAAGAGGAGAGGTGGACGGACCTATCAGGCGAGGAGAGCCGCCAGGCACAGCTGTGGGCGACCGAGCCGAGCTCTCACCAGGATCAACTGGACAAGAATGAAGTGTGCTTTACTAAAGGATGACTTCACTGTAGTCTAGGACCACAGACTGGAATGTCTGCCCTCGTGTCCCGAGGAGTCTGGGAAACAAGTGGATTCGCATGCACTTCATGGAGGGAAACGTCTACACAGAGAGAGGCCCTCAGGGGTCTTTTGTCATCGATTTAGGGGTAGATATAAATACCTTTTCTTTCTAATGTCTTTGCAAGATTCTCTTGAAGAACAAAATCTTAGGCACAGTCATCAATGTCCTCTAAACTACAAATGTAGGGTGTGTGTATAAAGACAAGATTAACGACCCATGTGACGTGCGTGTGTGATATGAATCCATGACACCATTCAATATCTGGTCTGTCTTGTTTTTGATACGGTGGCTGAATCCTGAGGTGCGTAACCATGGAGCCACACCCCAGCCCGTTTTATTTACTTTTGAATATTTGAGACAGGGTCTTGCTCAGTTGCGGAGGCTGGCCCCAAACCTGGCAATCTTCCTGCCTCAGCTTCCTGGGTTACTGAGATTATAGGCGTGAGCCACCAACCTGCCACGATCCAGTGTCTTGGAACAACACAAAAATAAAGCAAAATCTGCAACAAGTGAGCATGCAGATGTAACTCCAAGAGCAACCATCAAAGGGGAAAGATGAGCAAGATGATTCTCTTTAAGCATCATCACTAGACTAATACAATTCCTCTGTCAACCACCACCCTAGCCATCTCAATGCCAGTTTCTTCCTGCACACGTAGAAAAACAAAAACGTGCAGTGTGACGGAGGCTGGCGTTTGTCCCAGGGGCGGCTCCCTGGCATCCCCAGACTGCCACCTCCAGTCCAGCTGCTGCCAGGGGCTGAAAGCAATGGGCTGGGGCCAAGACGTGGACACTCCCTGGTTTGTGACAGACAGGACGCTGAGTGAATCAGGGCTGGACCCCGCGCTCATCCAGATTCCAAAATAACACCGAAGGAAACTCTGATGACCAACTGAAATCAGGAACATCCGTGACGTAGCTTCTTTATGCAGCTGTCACAGGCACAGTGACAGCTCATGTCAAGGCGGGGAAAAGCTGAAGTAGAAGAAAAGCCGTGGGCTGAATTACGCACACCACCCACGTCCACGGAAGGTCAGGAACACGGGAGCCCGCGTCAGAGGAGCAGACCAAGGCAAGGCTGCCCGTCCCCTCCAGGACTGGCCACTGTGGCATTTGCTACAAACGTGGTTCAGAACAGAGGATCCAGAAGGGCTCAGGAGACTCGCTGAGAGGCAGCGTGAGCCGGAGTGCGGGAGGGCTTGGGTCTGCAGGCCCCTGGCCGCCACCATTTCAAGGCTGCTCTTGGTACCTGGGGTCCACCGTTCCGTTTGGTTCTTTGTGATTATTCTCTCTGGGGACCAGACATCCCTAGGCAAGAGAGATGGTCTGACGTGTGGGATAAGGACAAGGGTTCAGGGTCAGAGCAGCCAACAGTCCAGAATGGGAAGAGTGTCCGAAGAGGAGGTGGCTGGTGTCCTCACAGGACAGCATGAAACACAAGAAACACTTTACTACGTGTCTCAAAGCTTCCCTGCCACCGTGACCAATGGCGGAACAAGCCGTCCTACTGCCCGCTGCCAAGTGGTGGGCTTGTGGGCCTTTTCCCTGACTGCTCCCGACTTCGGTGGGAGCTGAGCCAGAGCTTGCTGCAGTGAACCCAAAAGAGCCCCAGATACCAGGTCAAAGATGCCTGTGGTTCTGGGTAATTTGCTTCACTCTCTTAAGTTTGATCCATTTAAAACTCAGTTTGAAATCTGAGCAAAAATATCAAAAGAGGGTAATAAACTGTGTCCTGAAATATTTTGGGGACTCAAACAGTGGGTAGAGGAATTTTTAAGGGAAAGTGTCAGTCAATGTAGAGTGTTGCTGTGGGTCAGTATTCTGCACAATGATCTAAATTTACTTTGAAGGAACGAAGCCTGGGGGATGTGCAAGGCATTAGGTGAGGTCAGCGGATGGCGGAGGAGAGAAGACACCACTGCGCAGAATCTCACGCGCAGTCAATCCACGCCGACTGGGGAGGACCAAACTGTCTGGGATGTTTTTGAACAGCAAGAGAAAAACTCTGTTTTCTTGGAGATAATATAAAAGCTAATGTTCATCTCATTTGTTCTCAGAAATTAAAAGAAAGGTTAAATCAAGCCCTGAATATTCATTAACATAGTTACCATTTGTGATGAGACCGACATTTTACAAAAATCTGGAAGGAGAGATGCTAAATGGTTCTGTTTTAATTTTAAAAACTTCTCTACATTATGGACCTCTCTAAAAAATGTTGACCAGACTTGGTGGCTTTGGAAGGCCTGGCTAATACCCTCCCATGACACCGGAGTGCATCATCCTGAAAATGCACTGCCCTCCCCGGCAGAGAGCCACCCAGACCCTGGAGGCCAAGAAGGTCCAGGGTGTGACATGTGTGGGGAGACACGGGTCTGAGAGAGGTGCCACAGCGCAGGAGACGAGGCAACCACCGGTCCCGCCCAGGTAACAACCAAGCAGGACATGACGGGTGCCAGGACACGGGACAAGGACAGGGGCTGACGTTAAGCAGGAAAGGCCACTTCGAGCCTCAGGATCATGGAGGCCTGCTCATTTTAAAGGAGCATTTTCTGTCTTTTAGAAATAGCATGTTAAATTGCCACTTAAATGCAACTGAATTGCTAGTCATAAATTGTTCTGAATCCACAGGGGAAAATTGCAGGACCTTGACAAAAGAGTTGACTTACTGGGCACTTCTTCAATTAATAAGTAATTGCCATTGTGTTACTGCTGAACTCAACATATAATTAATAGCTTAAAGACAAATTAACAGAAGCATTATAAATTCTCACAAAAACATTGACTCCAAATCATGCATTGGTTGCAATTGTGTTAGAAAATTTCTTGAATGTCAGAAAACCTCAACAGTAGGAAATCAAATTAATCACACATTTCTATAACCAATTAAGAAAATATTTCAAAACGATACCAATAAAAATTAAAAAACCAAAAAGCTTCAGTTTGATTTGTCTAAAGCTTCCTATATTACATGGGATCCTGAGAAGAGGGTGTTTAGAAAACCTGGCTAAAATAATCTATTCAGAATCAGATGCAACAAAATGGTTTTTAAAAATGTAAACCACTCTGCCATTTAAAAAACACTAAACATATAAAAATTATTTATTTCTGTGGCAATGAAGAAAGAAAATACATTAATTTCTGTAATCCCTCCCAACTCCCAAGTGCATCCCATAGCTTGGGAACTGTGTGTGCATGTACACACACATACACACACGTACACACACACACACACACACACCCCATATGTTTACTCCTAAAGATAAATGGCTCTTAATGACTCTTTGCTCCTCCTCTTCTTGTGTATATTTGGATAACTGCAGGAAACAGAAGAATGCAGACTATGCAATCTTCAAAACAAGGAGCAAGCACTCAACTGGAAATCTGCAAGAAGGGACCCTGGCCGAGGTTCCATTTACATAGGTTGGTAAAGATGGTCAAAATCCAACTGCCAATACCAACACAGCAGCAACTGTGCTCGTCATTTAGGAGAACACAGCCCTACTTACCCGTGGGAATTGCAATCAAAATACTGACTTATGCACCCATTCATTTTTCTGCGAATGGGGACTAGCAGATCCTTGTTTTGGAGTCATTTGGACTTAAAGCACGCCTCCCGAGGAAGGCTTCGAGACGCTGTGAGTACCTGCTCGGGCTTGCTGGGGCCGTTCACCAGGCTGCTTTCAGGGGTCCCGTCCTGAGGCTGCTGGGCACACACACTCTTTGTTGCATCTCTGAACATGATGTCTTTTTCCAACAAACTGTCTTGCTTGGCAATTGGAAGCACCATGGGACCACTGCAGGAAGCAATCGATACCACAATTAGTTTTCTTCTAACGTTGTCTCATCAATCAAAAACTACAGGAGAGCTGGACTATCGAATGTGGTTTCACTCAAAGAAGAAACAGTTTCTATAAACTGTAGGGGAAAATAACAATGGGACACCTGTCAAGTTTTCTATTACTTTCGAATTCCATTCAATTTAATCTCTAAAAGAAAAAAACATTAATTTTAACTCTAAAAGAAAATGTTTACAGATATATATTTAATTGTAATTGAAAAATCAATAAGCAATTTAAAATTTTGAAAGGCATAACATCCTTAAATGTGAAAATGGATTGCAAACAAGAGAAGAAAGGCCTAATCTTGTGATTAATTGAAACATAATTCAGTTTATGATTTAAAAAGTAGAATCATGGGCAATATTTTGAGCAAAAAACAAATACAAAACAGAAATGCAAGCATATTTAATCAAGTCAACCTAGGTAAACATAATTATTGCATATGGTCTACAGGAGTGGTTAGATTCAAATTGAAGCCCGATGTGATTTTCTCTTTTCTATTACAAGGTTATTGAGGCCTAAGTTACACACAGTACATTGACCCTTGCAGGTCTACAGCTGAATGACAGTAGAAACATACATAGCTGGGCAGTTAAAATAACCAGCAATATACACAAGTGGTTTCATCCCTTCTTTGTGCCCTTGGGAAACAATTATCCTTAGATATGTTAGTGGCTTTTCAATGTGGTTTTCATTTGAATTCTTTTAATTTTAAAATATTGTCACTGTTAGATACAGAATGTGTTTAGGGTGTGCAATGTGGTGATTCAATATACACCATGCAATGACCACCACAATCATGCTAATTGAACGTCCGTCACCACCCATGCTGTACATGAGGTCCCAGAACTTGTTCACCTGGAGCTGAAAGTCAGTGCCCTTTGGCCAGCATTGCCCCCAACGCTGGCAATCACCATTCTCTGCTCTGAGTGTAGACGTCTTCAGACGTCTAATGAGATCAGGCAGGTTAGTCTTCCTGTGCCTAGCCTGTGTCTCTTTCCATCCTGTCTCCACGTTACTGTGTCCCAGGGGATTTGCTCAATAGCTCAATAACACGCCCTTGCGCTCCTGCGCCTGAACGTCTTTATCATCACCCAGCACAGACACGGAGGCATCTCTCCATGCCGGCCATCGTGGATGAGGCTGAAATGAACATGGGGTGCAGACATCTCTTTGAGATCCTGGCTTCCTTTCTCCTGGATGTCTATCCAGACCTGGCAGACAGTGCTGTTTTCTATAATGGCTGTGCACAACTATATCCCCAGGAACAATGCCACACTCTCCTTGCTCCCCCCTCACCAGCCCTTGTTGCCTCTTGTCTCCCCACAACAGCCACCCTCGCAGGCAGGGTATCAGGCCGTGGTGTTGATGGTTGGTGATGCTCTTCCACAGAGCCGTGGGACACTGGCATGTCTGCTCCGGGAAAGTGTCTATTCAGGGCATTCACCCTTTTTGTAACCAAGGAATTTTATCCTCCATGCTTTTGCTATTGAGTCGTGTAAACTCCTTATCTATGCTGGGCATCTACCTTTAGCACGTACACGGTTTACAACTCTTTTCTGCAGTTCTGAAGGTTGGTTGTCAACTCTGCTGGCTGGATCCTTTGCTTGTCAAAGCCTGTTAGTGTGAGGTAGCCCCAGTGGTTGGGTTTTCTTTTGTTACCTGTGCTTTTGGTGTTCTGCCTCCCCTCCAAACAGATTCACTCAAAAGACCAGTCTCTAACTGAAAGGAATCCCACAAAAGGGGAATGCTTACAACGCTTATACGATTTATATATGGGTCTGTTTAATACCATCAAATAACAAGCAACCCATCACTTGAGACCTGTCTGCTGTGGCTTCTATTCATCCTTCCTAGAGGCCTGAGGGGAGGCCCTATGCCTCTTTGACAGTCTTCTAGCATGATCATTGTCATTTCCCTGTCTTCTCCATTATGTGAAGGCTCATTTACAGGGTGTTTTAGCATCTCTCTAGTTTTCTGGCACTTAACACTGGACAGTCCCTGCTGTAAACACCCTGAGTGAGTGAATAATTTTCGTTTTGGAAAACAACCCTGTGCGTGTGTACCACTCTAGGCTTGCTGTACAGATGAGTAAAGAGGAGAAGCTGCTCTGGAGACGCAGTGGGCACTGGAAAAGCCAGGTGAACCCCGCAGGTCCACACCCAGTGCCCCTGAGCTCAGGCCCTAGGTAACAGGGCCTACTCCAGCCCACTCTCCCTCCCAGAAAAGGATCTTCTTCATCTACTTCTCTCACATATCAATCACCTCTTTCTTTCTGATTTGTTGGGAAATTAAAAAAAAATGAGAGGTTTTACATATCCCAAGATTTGAGCATAAAGTGATAAACAAAGCAGTAGTTGTATTAGTTAAAGTAGAAACTAGGAAAATAGAAATACATAACTTGTAAAGGATGTCGAAAAGGAAGAAATAATGAGTCTAGTGAAATAGCTCAGTGACTCTTATGTCTCAAGTCTCATTGCAGTATTGATAGTGGATTCCCTGAGAATTTCACTTGGAATGAGGCCTGGTCTAGGATTCCCACGACCTCATCTGAAGTCAGAATTTGCCTGTGGTCACCTGATCCTCCAAGGCTTCAAACCTAAGTCACAGCCTCACCTTTGCAAAATGCAGATACTGCACAAGCTTCGATGGAGCCCCCCAGTCTGTGATCAGACAATAATGTTTCACCTTTTTAATGTCAACCATTTACTTATTCCGTTAAACCATAGATCATATGACCTGGGACCTATTGCTAACAACCGTAAAAAGACATCTACAAACACTCTTAGTGCTTAGTTAGTATTTATGTTCATCAACCATGGGAAAATATTTGTGATAGATTACTTTTAAAATAAAATGTGATCATATTGATAGGGCAAGTGGAAAACAAAAAGAGGGAACACAGAAAGGACAAGAAGAAATGTGCAGTTAATAGCAATTTCACCATAAGGGAGCCATGACCAAGGCCTGGACATTCCCCCTTCCTGTTACTGAACTTGACACTGGCTAGCCTGGCCCCAGACCCTGCCCTCCCTTTTCCTAGAGTGCTGGCCTTAGGAACTCACCACTGTGAATTCTCTGCCTTTTCCAGATGTTTAACTCAGCCTCCTGCCTGCTTTACAATGCAGGACGGTCTTCCTCCAGGACTGGGAGCCATCTTTAAAATGTGAACTCAAAACAAAGGAGACGCACTCTCTCTCCAGACTCTGCAGAGAGTGGAGGGTGAATTTTTATTTTTAATTTTTTTATGGTCTTTGGGACTGATCCCAGGACTTTGCACATGCTGGGTAAACTCTCTACCACTGAGCTACTTGAATTCCTCCGCCCCTTAGTTGCCCAGGCTGGCCTTTAACTTGAGATCCTCCTACCTCAGCCTCCCGATTCACTCCTGGGCCTGGCTGGAAGGCTGATTTTGATAAGGGACAAGAGGAACCACCTGAGCCACAGCACAGACCAACCTCCTCCCCAGGTCCTACAGCGCTTGCCACCAGCTCAGCCAGCACCTGGCAGCTCCCAGGGTCTCTTCAGCCCAGCTGGTTCCTCTCACTCCCACAGCCATAGTCTAGAAAGCCTTTTCCCCCGGCCTCACTTCTCTGGTGCAATTTTTCTTTGAGGCCAACGAGTGATTTTTATTAAACACTTCTGTATATTTTTCTGCACTTTGCTAATTTTCTCCAACAAGCAAGTCTTGCTTTGATTATAAAAAAGAAATGATTAGCAATAGAAATTTATCAACAAGCAGCAGAGGGAAAAAGGGACTAAAATAGTGTATATTCCAAAGAAGGGTTTTGGTGAGGGAGACTCCATAAACAGAAAGAGCACGGAACAGCTCTCTTCCAGGGCAGTTACAGCAATTCAGGAGAAAGCTCTACTCTTTACTCTGGCTGTGGAAAACAACAAAAGAGGATACTCCAGCAGATGACCACTTCTGAACACAACCGGATTTAGTCACGATCTGCTTACTTCCATAAACATAAAAGGCAGAGCAAACGTGCCTCTAGGAAATAGGATTTACTTCTGAAGATGAAAATGGGACTGTACTCAAAGAACTAGGTTGTCACACATAATGCACAAGTTCATATATAAAGAAGAAATAATAATAGCTATATGGTTAATAAGATCACTGTCAAGATTGTGCTTTTAATGGTAGATTATGATTTCTCGTGTTTTATTAGAAAGTAACATTCTGCAGAAAAGTTCACTAATTATAAGTATATACTTTGATGAATCATTATGAGTGGAACACATTATCGATGTAACCACTGCTAAGATCAAGAAATGAAATGTGACTCTTCATGATTTCTAGTGCCTCCTTGCTCTGCAAAGACAGTCTGACTTCTAACAGTACAGATTACTTTCACTTGGCTTTGAACTTCACAGATTGTACCACATACCATGTTATTCTTTTGTATTTGGCTATCTGGCTCGATGTTACATTGTGAGTCTCTTCCATGTTGTTTTATGTTTCCATAGTTTATTTCATTTTAAGATTGAATTTCACCATCTCAGCCATGTATAAAGAAGTGAGGTCTGCTACTAACAGTGCAATAGCCACTTGTGAATGTCAGCAGGGCCAGGTCCTCTCTTTTTCTCTCAATCAATAAACTGTCCCACTTACCAACAACAAAAAAAGGAAAGAAAAACTGAGAAAGGCAACAATTATTGCCCATTATAACTAAAGCAAATTTAGAAGACTATAGAGATGAAAGAAAATCGGCTGCATTGAGCTATGCTAGGCCAACAATGACAGCAACAAAAATATCTAATAGAAACAAATGTGAGATAGGTGAGGCGATAATCTTGGTGCTAAAGTCATGAAGGAGCAGATGGCTCTCGGTGCTAAGCTGGGCACACAGCTGCATGCAGGATTTCTCGGGGACTTTGGGGGGTTTTGCTTCGATAACACTGAGAGCCAAAGATTCATGCTAAAGATTTTAATCAATTGTTATATTTGG